GGGTTCGGAAATATGCGCAAGAGCATACCCTTGTATTTCTACCATGTTCTAGCTGTCATTTTCGCAGCAATGCATTTGGTATTTGATGTCAAGTTAGCAGTCTAGTGTATGTGTATACTAAAGATGCTGTCGAGCCATGTGGCAAGTTGGAGCTTATTATGACACAATTAAAAAATATCAACGTAGTGTCATGAATTTAATATGTTCTCTGTGATACAAAAAAAATTTAACCCTACTTCATGACGTTCAACGTGGATGACTTATAAATAATGATTGTTATGCTAGAATTTACATTGTCTCATTAAACAATGAGACTGTTTATATTGGCTCATTGAACGTTGTTACATTGTTACCTATATTTTACTTAAATGTTAAGTACACAATAATTTGCAATTCGTTACTCATTTTCAAAATAAAAGTGAAAAAAGAATTATTTCCATCAGGTTTATGCTGTCCTTTTAATTAATAATGGAAGGCGATCTAGAACAATTTCTTGCTGATACTTGGCACGATATTGCTGGTTTTGTTAATGAATCTGCGGTCTATATAGATCATGCGGCAACGGAATGTCTTCATTGGTATACCGGCGGCAAGGTATATTCCTTCTTTAAGGCTGCTGGTGCAGTGTCGGTTCACGAACAGGCCATGTACAACTTTCGCGTATGTAATTCATAAAAGCATGATTTTTGCTACTCAAATCTCATATAATTGTAAAATTGTTAATTTATTATACAATTTGTTGCAGTATATTAAAGTGCAGAACTGCAAAAAGGTAGTGATCATTTCTACTTCTATCAATCTAACTTTTTATCAACGTACAGTTAAGATGATATTAGAGAAAAATGCATTCGAGCACTGTACGATTATTACTGCTGCGCACTCGAGCGTGTTGAATTATGACGATACAGTGTCAACGGAGGATCGAGTGGATTATGCCAAATTAAAGAGAGACGTAAAAAGCTGGATGCAGTCTAATCAGCAGTTAGAGGTAACGTTCGTCTCTTTTTTTATTTTCGTTTAATATACAAGTGCCGGACTTTAAATTGAGTTCATTACATGTCATTGAAATTTTGTCATTATATATTGATTTATAGGACTGCTCGGTGACAATACTATTTCGGCCAGTTTTCATTAGTCTAATTGACAATGGTCTGTTTGTAACACCACCTTTCAGCGATCTACTATCACCCTTAAATAGTGGGTCGATAAAGAATTCCGAGTATGCAGTTGAACATTTTGTAAGTTTGTTTAACAGTTTATTGACCAACTTGAATTTGAGAGAAGACATTTACTCAATGGGAAAATTTAGCGAATATGTCGCTGAAAAATTAGAAACATTACCGATGGCTATCGAACGTAGAAACGTAAGTATTTTGTTTATGAGAAATAATTATGATTAATTAAAAAGAAGTAAAAGTACTAAAAAATATTTAAAAATTTTACTTTAATGTTTGATCTTATATGTTAGAGTTTAGTTGGTGCAACGGGAAAAGGAGTATCCGTAATCTTTGTCGACAGAACGTTAGATCTTTGCACTTCTACCAGTAATAATACGGAATCGTTGCTAGCCAAGATATTGTGCACTTTGTCTCATTTACCTCATCACTGCAACGATGTTGCAATAAATATGTATCCTTTGTTTAGCGGACCACAGGTATAGTAGCTCATATTGTAATATGATATGCATTTCATATTATAAACAATATTATGGATTTGTCATTATTACGTGAAAATTGCATAAAAATTGTTTTTTTATGTTTTAAGAAATTTGTCGATGTGCCAGGATGCTTGGCAAGCAGCGACAAAACTCTAATGAATATATTAATCACGAAAACACAAAAAGAAGTATTGGCTACTGCAAATAAAATGCTCATCGATATACTTCCAACAAAAGAAAATTTAAAATTAAGAGAAAAACTGAAACCAAAACCAGCAACAAGGATTTCCGCGCATAGTTTAAAGAAACTTGTAAATAAATTCAAAGACATAGATGATCTTCATACTATATCAGAATCGAGCAAAAAACTTCAAGTATGTATACTGATAAGGAAAAATTTTTAATATGTGCTTTTTTGGCCAAAATAATTCTAGACATTGCATATAATTTTCTCATAGCATATATGCAACTTAAAAAAATCATGTATCTGATTGTTATTTGTTTTACTGCAGGTAGTACTGGGAATTATACAAGCCCTAACGTCAGAAAAAACTTCCCGATTAGAACTATTAATTAGTTTCGAGAAACTAGTTTTACAAAACATAGCTGTGAGTCGTGACTCTACGAGCGTGCTTGGACAAGTAATTGTCATTATTTAGTTTCTTGTGTACTCTCAATATCACTATTTCTTGTAAGATCACACTTTCTCTTTCGAATATTTTCAGTTAAGTAGTATAATAAAAACTCGCGAAAAACATAAGCTACATACAGATAGTATATTGGCATTTTTGGTGCATATTTATGCACTAGCTGGAACTGAAATACAGTTCTCCCTTCAACAAGAGCAGCAGCTGGAAGAAGCCATTGCTGATGCTGTATTTGAGGATATTATAAAATTAAAGGGAAATACAATGAAGACGTCAATGTACGAACAATCTTTGTCGCTTCTCGGTTAGTAAAAAATATGTTACAAGATGCAGAAATAACAAATCGATTAAGATTATTGATTATCTATGAAATTTTGAAAGTTTATTTTTTATTACATCAATCTTTTATTTAATTATTATATAAATATACTCAAAAAATATTGTTACACTGATTTGATGAATGATTTTATAAAAAATATAAGTTATATTAGACCGTTTTGTCCTATCTATAATTAAACTTTTTATACAAAATCATAAAAAATGTAATTTATCGAGATTCATAATATTTGATCTTACTAAATAATTAAATGAGATAAAAATGAATGTATAATGTCTAAAACATTCTAATACTAATGTATATCTAAATTAGGTGTTACAGATGCTGAGACTATAAAGGAAACGTCTGCAAAAATAGCAAAACATATTATGACCATCTTACATGAAATAGCACAGCAACGCGCGTCTCTACATAATTATACGTATGAAACTATATGTATATTCACATGTATACATAATTATTACAAAATATTTTTAATATTTACATTCAGAGACACTCATTATCTCACTTTGAAATCGATTCACTGTGCTTCTAATATTTCATGTTTCACGTTTTTAAGTATTCATATTTGCTCAAATATGAGTAGAATATATACTGTCTTTTTTATACTTCTTATTTCTTATAGTTCCTTGATGTCCAAATCGAGTTCTCAAGAGATCGTTCGACGTGTTGGCATTTTACAACAATTATTAACAGATATGCTCCATCCAGATAGATTTGAACTTCCCGATTTACACCAGAGATCACCCTCGTTTATTTCTGCTGGACTGAAGTAAGTTTAAATATATATTACATTATTTTACCACGATACTATGCTTTAAGACTTTTTTTTTCAATTTATCTAGAGAGATTCTTAAGGAAATCTAACTTATTTGATATTTATATACCTTTGACAGCTTATTCTCTAAAGGAAGAATAAAACACCATCCATGCGATAACAATTGGATTATCATTTACGTCATTGGAGGTGTAACACCAGAAGAAATAAGAGAGACTAAAGAAATTATATCGTTATTCAATTCAAATTGTCAAATAACAATAGCAGGTTCGAGACTGTTAAATCCGATAGACATAGTGGACAAGGTTCTTCTCTCGTCGATTGATTATTGAAACAGTTATTGAATTTTTGCTTTCTATTTACGCATTATTAAGAATCCATTTTATACCAGAATCAGAGATTGTATAACGAATCTGTTTTACATTGTCAATGGATTGTAAATGACACATAAACTCACGAACTACGGTACTTTTGCTAAGCTGCAGCCTATAATTTACACCTGACCCTTTCAACAGATTGGCATGCGACTCGGGTTTAGGCACTGGTCCGTCCCATCTCGTGTAAACTGTCACGGTGTGAAATTGAGACGTTTGAACCTGAACGATTCTGAGCAGATCTCTAGCGTAGTTATCCATACTGAGTATGCTCCCCTCTTTCCTCGCCTGCCAATAGTACGCCAATATATTGTCCATAGCTAACAGAGCGATTCTTTCATTGCTGAGAAACTCGTCTTCGAGCGTGTGCAGAGTCAGCTGGAGCTGATCGTTGTTGCAACAGCTGATCACTGTTAAGTTTTCTAGGGACTTGTTTACGATGCGGTCTACCGTTTCGGCTGGCGGTTGCACATCGGCTACCTGATACGCGCTGCGTATCGTGGAAGACATCAATTCGGCTATCTTGCTCATCCGTATGTGACCGAGCGTGTCGATCAGTATCGCGCAGGCATCGCAGCCGTCGATCCTGATCCCCTTGTGATGCGCGGGCAATATACATTTCGCTACGAATTGGCATAGTAACAGAGTCTTCCCGGTGGACGATGCCCCGACGATCTCTACGACGCTCCTGTTGTCGATGTCGTTCGAGAACAGAACGTTGTCGAGGTTAATCGGCCGCGGTTTCACGCTGAATCTCGATAACAGCTCTAGCCCGTCTTCGGAATGGAACTCCATATTATTAACGACTTATAAACGTACGTCCGTTACCTTCCTGTATCACCACAACGTTTCAAATATGATTAATTAACGAGGGTTATTCCATTGTTGAACACTGTTGATTATTCGCAGAATTCGATCGGAGCCCGCCAGGATCTTCCATGGCTGCGGCCATGTTGTTTCAGCGACGTCACGGAAATGCGATACCATATCGATAGTCTATCGCGTATTTCAATTTCTTTAATGTTATTTTCAATATTGAAAATTTTTACGTATATATGAAGTAATCAAATTATTACAATTAATATATTATTTTCTGGATATTTCTAATAATTAGTGAAATATTTTAAATTAAGTATATTAAAAAGTTATTGTAATTTAACTGGCTTACTCCTTCGATCGTATCGATATTTCGAAAATTACAATCGAAAAGTTTTCAATATTAATTATAATTTTACAGAATCGATGAAAGTAAAATTTTTGATATTTAAAATCGACCTTTCCAAACAACGTTGGTTTTCAACGTATCGCGGTTTCAACGAATAACATTAACCTTCGGATAAAATTAACAATTAATTTACCATTTTTTAATTTTTTCCACTCTTAAAGAAGATGTGATGTCAAATAAATACAAAGATTAAATTTAATACACGTTATTAACATATAATAAATAAATCGAGAATAAATGGCATGCGCTTTGTAGTGTCTATAGTTAATGTTGAATTGTATCAGCTATATGAGTTTATAACGTACTGTCGAGTGTACTAGCTATCAGAAAAAAAATTTCATAGCAGCAATTCCATTTTAAAGCGCCGCGATCGAATTGGCAACACGTTCTTTCTATTTCTTGCTAAATAAATCTGCAAAGACAAGAGCATGAAGTGCGAGGCAATTATTAGGCGTTTATGGAAAATTTTGTAAGCAGAACGAATAAATATTTAGAGAATAACCAAGAATGTTTTATAATTTTTTAGTACTCATTTCGGCGACGACGGTTCATCGTATTTTATGGTATGCGCGATTTGAAACATTTACGTGACGAACTACGTGAACGAGCGAATTACGTATCTGCTCTTTAACAAAAAACTGAATTGTAATCGTGCACGCATATATATTTAACCTTGTTAGCACTCTCGACGTTCACACGCGTTTCGAAGCAAGCTCGCTCCCTCGTTCGCGCGATCGTTCTCTTCAATCACTCAAATGTTCTATTAAGATTCGGATGTATACCGCGCTTCGAAACATTTATTTCTCGTGTAAAATTTACTCACCGATCACGGAGCACTGCAGGAGACCCGCCAAATCACAGCCGAAAGGATGACGCGTACGACGTGTGTGACGGGTTGCGAAGTTAATGTAGGCCGGCGATTGCATCCCACTCGTTTCAGTCGACACAAGAAGGAATGGAATATTCAGCATACATTCACTTTGCAACACTTCACACACGGATTTCTTTTCGTTCACGAGAAAGAAATTACACGATCGACAACGTCTCGCACCGACCGTCGTTGAACGCGTCACGTGGGCCGTTGCCGCCGCACAGGCGCACAGTCGGGCGAGACGTCGAACGTGATTGGCTCGCGAGTCGAGCCCCCGGATCCGGCCAATCACGTTCGTCCGCTCCGAGCCGCCGCCGCCGCTGCTGCCGGCTGCCGGCTGTGCCGGCGAGGCGGCCGTGACGCCGTGGCATACCAGGCATACCAGAACCAGACGCCATACTAGGCGCGACTGTTGAACTTGAATACGGCGTACGTTCAAAGTCGCTGCGCGACCGATTGTTTTTGCCGGTGAGCGGCCTTGCCACTTGTTTCCGTCAGCGCTCGGAAGACCGTTATCTGCGGAAGTCACTCGACTATCGTTCTCCTGACGGATTTTGCACAGGTGAGAAGTGTTTGTGCTCCCGCGCGCGCCCGTCGCCGTGCTCCGAACTGTGTTATTCATTTCTACGATTGGCACACCTGCTTCTCGTTTCGCGGGCCGCGGAAATAATCGACTACGCGAGTACGCGTGTCGTACGTCGTACGTGCTCAATAATGTGCAAGTGTATCAAGTATCAAGTGTTTGTCGGCATGAATGTGTCGCGCTCGCTCGAGGCGGAGACGTCGTCGTCGAGGCGAAAGTAATTGTGAGTATAGACAATTGTGTGTGAGTGACTTAATTGCAGTTTCGTTGTGTGATATTCGCGGGCGATAATCACTCGTCCCGTCATATGTCCGGACTCGAACGTAATTCATTTATCTCGTGTCGTGCTTTGCGAACGCTCTGTGCCGGAATTATATCGTGTGATTTATCTCCAATTCTCTCCGCGTAGGGAAAAAAGAGGGATATTGCTGAGTGATATTGTCGTATGAGTGTGTTATTCGGAACGCCCCCGCCGTGATACATTGCACGTTCGTGAATATGTTTCATAATTTCGTATATTTTGCGTCGCGTATAAAATTTAAAGGCCGGCAGTCACGATTTTTCGTTGTGCAAATTAATAATGCGCAGTTTCACATTCGCGAGATTCGCGAATTCGATACGTACCGCGCGTAGTATCGCGTCAAGTTGCCGACATATATCTTCGAATTCATTTTGTCGCCACTAACGTAACGCGGTGATGAACGCGGAATGAATCGGTGCTATATATTACATATATAGCACTTCTTTCCCATGGGTACGACCTTGGCGAGGTGGGAAGGTCCAGTACCCCGAGGATATTGCCCAACCAAAACTCTTTTGCTTGGGTAAAAATCCAAAGACGGGGAAGCTAACGTACCCTCGTCCGTCGAATTAATTGAATAAACGAACCACAGCCGGTTCGTCGCGTTTGCTTCGGGAGTGTCGTTCAAGTAATCGGACTAAAAAACTTTTTTAAAAGTCCATTTGAAGAATATTACGGCATACTTGACGGAATATTCTTCTCATGAGCTTTTTAAACGGGAGTGCCGTACAGTACATCGCGCGAAAGACATATACTGATAGATAGTCCGCGCGCGCGTGTAGTTTATCCGCGAGTGTTTCTCGCGAGTGTCCTGTGCGGTGAGAGGAGGAAGCCTGACGTCCTGAGAGGAGGAGGAGGTCCGAGAGAGACATTGGGCACCGGCGGAGCAACCTTGGGGTGAGTATTATCTCTTATTTTTATAATTAATAATTAATAATTAATAATAAATTAATAATTCTTTTCCATTTATTCGACGTGCCTTATCTCGATTAGTTAGAAATAATTAGAGACCAGAAAAATTATATAAAATTTTACTTTTGTAAAGATCTTTTTCGGAAAATAGATAATTATATTACTAAATTATGAAATATCACGTTTACATTGAAAGACGACGTAGAGGCAAATAAGAATTATCTTTTGAAATATTGATCATTTCGAATGTTTCTTTAATTTCAATTATGTTTGTATGTTACAGTATCACCGTAGCTACGTTGCTGAATAACTCCGCCCGTTGCGCATCAAGTCGGTGAGTCAGATTTTTTTTTATTGAGGTAGCAAATCTACGATTAATCAAATATTAAATTAAATGTATTTTGGTACATATCGAATTATGTATGACACGTATAGTATAAAAATTGTAGTATAAAATATTACATCTCGTAGATTTGTTGCTTTAAAATGGATGGGCTAAAACTACGTACGGAAAATATTTAATCTTGATGTCACTGGTTTATTGATATTACGTACGCGTGTGCTTAAGGAAATATCTATATATCTGTAGATAGGGAAAAACTATGAATTAGTTAGGATATATGTTATTTTTATACCCCCTTCCCATATTATATTTATCCAAGATTAAATATTACATAAGTCGATGCAAGGAAATAATATATCATATGTAGATATATTTAGAATTTTTATATACATTGTATTTTTAAATACAAGCATGAATAAAAAGAGTAAGACATACTTTGGTCTTATTATACAATTTATTTTATAGAAAACGTGATTAATTAATCAAATTTATTTTAACAAAGTATCGATTTTATTTTAATTTTTTGTAGCCTGTCCATCTATTTTTGATTGAAAAATTGACTTTATCCTAGTCAAATGACGTGAGATCTTTAATATTCAGCCGAGAAACGCTGAAATTTTTTAAATTATTTTAGAATTGATCAGTACGATTGGAAGGGTAAAAATCACAGTGGTGTGTCAAATTTTCAAAAATATTTTCTCGTGTACATAGATGTAATCTGTACAATATATAAATTTCATCTATGCACACGAGAAAATATTTTTAAAAATTTGATTTACACCACTGTGGTTTTTACCCCTCTAATTATGTATTCAATTTTACAGTAAAATATATGAATATGTTATATCAAAAATAATTTTAGTAGAAAATGTAAAATATAAAGAGATATATTTATATCGATGTGTAAGTTTATAAAGATTTCACGTTATTTATTCTGTATATCTTATTTGATATATTTTCAAGATGCGTACCGCATGAACAACATGCACAATCACGCATCTTCGTATTTTCGCGGTCGGTTTTCGCGGTCGGTTTTTACATCGAGAAATTTTTCATTATTAATTTTTTAATTTTGTTTGCATTATAAATTTCAATTTTTCGCGGAATGTAATTGAGATTAATATTTATATAACGCGAAGTAAAATTTTTTCTATACTTGATTACAATTTCAAATTAGACGAAGGGGTCGCAAAGAAACGGTCTATCAATATTTTCAAGTAAGTAATGGAATTATTGATAAAAATATTTTTGATCAAGTTGTGCAGTCAACTTTTATGAATTAATATAAACTTTTTTAATTAACTTCTCGTTGTGCATTTTTTGATACGATCGATTTCTCGCGTGTAATTCGAATCGAACGTAATATATTATCTGTCTGCCATGATAATGATCCGACAAGGAAAGGAGTTTTTCTCTTTTTTATTTATCTCTGGTCGAAATATACGACCAGTATTCCGACCTGTATATGTCCAGGAATAAAGTAGGTCCGATCTAGCTCGAAGAAGATTGGATACGATAAGGTAAGTGGTCAACATTGACCACAATGGAATGCAACATACAAAATGACTTGATCGATATATCATATCTGTTTATTTGCCCAATGCAGGACTAATTTCGTCTATATAGACGTCGATTCGATGTCATTTCTCGCTGGGAGATTGATAAAATCTTATTTAAATCTCAATCGCGCGCATGTTAAAATCCTCAAATCCATATTTCTCATATCTTAAAGTCTTAAATGATTGTGGCTTTCGGGTATCCCGTTTAGATATCCCGCTGGATTAACCAGCAAATAAAATCTTTTATAAATCGTGTCGCGGTCTTAATTAAAATTTTTTATCTTAAATTGTAACACGGGTAGGTAGGAAAATGGCTATAGGTAGTAACCAGGTAGTACTATAGGTCGGAATACGGGTAGGTAGGTAAAGGATTCGGGTAGGCAGGGACAAGGGGATATAATTCAATTTTGTAATGTAACTCTTTTATGATGTTGTACATATTATAAAATAAATTGTAAAGAAACTAAAATAAATGATAAAAATGTGAAAAAGAATTCTAAAGAAAAGAGGACCGCCGATCGGAATCGACGGGGGTGGTGGAGGGCCTCTATAGGTTGACCTATTTCTATCGGATGAAATTTTAGTTAAAACTTAAGATAAGAAAGTTAATATTTAATTTATAACTAAGAAAATGTGAAGTCTAAAATCCATTTAATCGTAATGACATTTAGTGCAAGCAGGACGGTTTTTAAAAATATTGCTTTTCCTCGATGAACAGTATTTTACTTATCTCTACTATTTATAATTTATTATTAAAGTTTGATATGAAAAGTTGGTAAAAATAATGATTGTGTAAAACACACAACTTATATAACTTGAAAACTGTGACATTTTTGTATTAGGATTTTCGATTAATTAATTTTTAGAATGCGCAAGTGTAGGACATTCTACACACATGTACAACATATGTATAACATGTTTACAAATTATTAAATTAGAAGACAAAATTTAGAAGTTAAATATATATTGAATTAAATATATATAAATAATTTATTAATAATAAGAATATATCTTGTACGAAAAAAATAATGTATCAACAGCATTAGTCTAATTCGAAATAATCTTGTTAATTCAATATGTTATGGTCTTGTGTATAAAACAAGTATTTGTTTTATTAATATTGGAGTAATATTCATTATTGAATTAACAAGATTATTTCCAATCAGATCTAATGCTATTAATACAACATTATTATTTAAGCTTAATAAACAAATTTTAATAAGCATTTAATGTATCAAATTACTGGAATTCCAACATTTGCGAAAAAATGTCACTTTATTGGATTATTTTGAGGAAGGAAGGAGGGGTAAATCAATTATAAACATATGTATATATTTGTAGTTTACAATATATATTAGAGAAAATACTCCTCAAAATTTAAATTGTGCATCTGGAATTCTTTTGTCCAATACCCGATTTTTGCTCCACTGTGTGGCGCACTGTTTGACATCACCGCGCTATCATTCGTTCACCAACAGTCGAACATGTAGGTAGCGGAGCTCCGTGTACCGAAACGCGATCATATTTTACGAACGATTAGAAGCTGGCGCGAGTAATTAACTCTTCCGATCAACGATCTGTAGTCATAAGTATTTATTGAAGCGGGTATTCCGCACTGAATAATACCTATCGTTGAAATTGACGCGCGACCAGGAACGAGAATTATAAGTTACTGTTTCATTGGAATGTTTAATTATAGGTAGAAATTGTTTCTTTAACAACTTGCGTTATTTTTTTCTTATATCACATATTAATAATATTTCGCGTATGTCGAAATACGCATCGTATTTGATGTCGATAAAAAGCTTCGCGCGATCGTCGCATTCGAATGATCAATATACGCGTAATTGTAATTAATTATAATTAATTGAAGTGCAACTGTGAGTGCAAAAAACGAATTCGAGAAAAGGAACAAGCTTGAGGAACATTTAGTTGCTGCACGCATCGTACCCTGTAAGTTATTAAATTATTTTATATTTTAATTAGTGATAACGTATCTGTGAATATTATCCACTCACACACATCACTATCCATCAAAATTAACTTATTTAATGAAAAAGAAGACAATTATGTTTCAATTTTATTCTTTTTCTTTATTCTAATTCTTCGTAGCCTAATCTATCCATATATTTATATACATATATCGATAACTTGATTTTATATTACTTAATACAAAAAAGTAAAGCACTTTCTTTCCATGAGTACGACCTTGGCGAGGTGGGAGGACCCAGTACCCCGAGGATGTTACCCAAACAAAACTTATTCTGCTTGGATAAAAATCCAAAGACGGAGAAGTTAACGTATCCTCGTCGCCGATTTAATTAATTGAAAACGAACTGTATGTTCGTCGCGTTTGCTTCGGAAGTGCCGTTCAAATTATTGAACTAAAGGACTTTTTTAAAAAAGACGTAATGTTTAATGTAAAATCAGAATGGTCAGAAAAACGTGGGTAACCATAGGGTAGTCAGAAGGCAGTATAAACACCTTTATCGTCAATAACTTTCTATAACGGTTGTAAAATAAAAACTAATAATGATATTCGCAATGCGATAACGTAGACCTTTTCGAACCGCTTTGTATACTTCCTCCTTGAAATTCGCAAAAATTCAAGCCGCGCCAAACTCGACAGGCCAGATCGGCACGCAGCCGATCTAACAGATCATGCCCGCGCGCTATCGTCTTGCCCCTCCACGAGGCGTCCGCTCGTTTTTCATCCGTTCGCTCGCTCGTTCGTCCGCATGCTCGCTCGCTACCTACGTATATCGCTAACCACAGTAACCACAAGCGCGAGAGCTCTCCCAGTTCAGGCAAAGTGCGAAGACCGGTACGGTCGCGCCGCGTTTCCCGCTATCTTCGCGTATCAGTCCGCGTGAGCCGCTCGGCGCGTGAAGGTTGACAAGACCGACCTGCCTACACCTCAGCCTACTTGCCGAACGACCGATCAAAGAGCAGTCGACAGCATTCGGTCGTGATGAGTGTGCGCGGCAAGCAAGTGCAAAATGGTACCTACGAGTTCGATTACATGCGAGTACCTGATACCAGAACGCGCTGGCAGATATTTCGCGATGGCATCTACAATCCGACGGAGGGAACGTACTGCGGTCATCCGCCGAAAAAATGGGGTATGTCATTTCGGATATTTCACATATTCGAACACCTCGAACACTTGGACATATATCAAACAGTTGAAGAACGAATCGGTACCAGTCACGATTGCGGGTATATAAAGAAGGAACTTGAAAGTTTTGCGTTGTTACCTTGAAAAATGATATGTTCCGGTATTGTATTATACTGGTATAATATTAGAATTTCGTAAAAAAAAATTGTGAGATATTTCTAAAAGACTTCCCGTGCACTGTAATTTTTTGAAAATCACACATTGATCAGTATATTTGCGTTCGAAAGAGATCAGCGTAATGAAAAACAAAAAATTTAAATCACATACGTACTAATTTTATAAGCTCTTTAAAAATTAAAAACTAGGTTTAAAACGTATTAAAATAGGTATATTGAGAACAGTGAGGAATTATTTAAAGTAAAATTAAAAATTATTCTCCTTGATATTTCTTCTAATGTAACTATTTTGGGTTGACATTTATTACTTTGCATTATAATATCAAGATTAGAGAATTTCTAGGTTTTTTTTCCGACGAATTTAATAGAACATTTTAATATTAGTAAAAAAAATTCCATTGACTAACATCGATTTAAATTTAAAAATGGGATGCTAATGCATTATTTAACATTGAATAGACATTAAGTAAGAACATAAATTTCGTTTCTAGGAGTATGAAATATTTCTGTAGACAACAAAATTTTTAATCACAAGCTATGACAGTAATTGTATTTGTGTTATTACCGACATTATATTAGAAGAGTTGCCGTTTTTCCATTACGCATCAGGAAATCTTTTAAACCTTGTTAAATTTTACGATCGATATTTCTTAAGAGCTGCGGTAAGTCAATCAAGACTGTAACGGTACTTTCTGTAGCATAATGCCAAGACAAGTTTGTGTGATTACGTTCAGTTCAAATGAAATCAATGTCTTTAATTGTCTTTTAATATGGGTTATTATTATACAGAAATCTTTACTTTTTTTCATATTCTATTTCATATTATACATGTATGTATATTAGTAATTTTTTGTTTCTTAAATTGTTTGCGAAACATTTACAATATTTGTGTTTACAATGCGTATAATTAAAAGTATACATACATATCTATGTTTACACACATAAATAAATTTTAGACAATGTTTCACTGCGGCTATTAAATTTTATTTCCTAATTACATCAAAACAAAGAGTGAAGAGAATGTGAGATCGAAATCATATTTCCGTAGTTAGCATTAAATGTACGTATGATGAAATTGTGTGTACGATGCAGAGTCTTAAATATAACCTTTTCAACGAAAAATAGAAACACTACAAGAAACACTACGATTATCTCGTATTGTTTTACAATACTATATACACATACAATTCTTAATCCTTATCATATACGTAAATGCACGCATTCATATTTCTTAATGTTAAGAATATTGAACTATATATTTTTGTTTATTCTTAATATTTAAGTTATTTTTAACATTTAAATAATCTACTAAAAATATAGCGAAAATTTGGGAAAGTAGTTCAATATTTGTAACATTAAGAAATATGAATGCGTGCTTTTATGTATATGATAAATTCATTATTTAAATAATCTATGAAAAATATATATTTTCTATAAATTATTATTTAAATATTAAATTTTTCATGGTTATAAAAATTTTTTATTAAATTTTTTAATTAATAATATTACGAATATCATTTTTTCCACGTTTTCTGTGTGTGATAAGTCTTTGATATTTTTCTTGATACTCTGAGAGAAATTTAAGAACGAAAAGATTAAACCATCATGAGTGGTAACGGATTAATGTATCGTAGCACTGTCGTTATCAAGAGATATTATTCTAATCGCGATTCCTTTTCAAAGGAAAAGAATGTAATATCTAGAATCTAGATGCATGAAAAAATCTTATATCCTTATAACATTTTGATTAAAAAATAACTCTTTGATGATTAATCATTAGTCATTCAATAAACTTTGTAATTAATTTCATCAATTGACCGACTTAATCTTGCATATAATTGTTATTCGATTTACATAACGAATTAAAGAATTATTAAAAATTCAAATGTGCTCGACGTTTACGCGCGTGTATATGCGTATGTATAATACATGTTGATAAGATGACTCTTACGTAGACTTCTTGGCGGCTGTTTAGAAGCAGCCGACCCTGAGCCTCGCGTTTTGGCAGCGGCTGACGCGAGAGAGCACCGGAAATAAGTATCGGTGATGGTAACACATAGCGAACAGCGAAGGGGGCATTTGGCCATCTCGGCGTGCCGTCTTTCATCCAAATCTTAAGACCGGCCCGAATCGTGTCAATCGCGTTCTGAGTAGAATGCGTATTGGTACTTGACAAATTGACGTTCACGAACGTCGAGGCATGACAACGTTTCTCTTCTCTTCTTACACGATGCAAAATTTTGTCCTGACTCTGCCAACCACGATATTCAAGATTTTATTTAGTGAATGTATACCTAAAAACACATTGTGTCTATTAATTTTATTTTGCCGAGACAATATTTTTCTTGTCAACGATGTTATAGATTTTTTCCTCATTTATTTTTTAATGATATCACACGCTGGATTCCGCAGAATGTCACGAAATGCATTATGCCTCTCGCGATCCTTCATTGCATTTCGCAAGACAGTTGCTCTTGTTAGAGGTCTAACTTACGACGTAGAACGATTTGTGAAAGTCCTGTTTGACTCGCAAAGTCGTCACGGTCTTTTGTATCTTTATAATGTCTTTTAGAAGTCTTCTTTCCATGCAGTGACAATTTGAATTTGAATTGATCCGAAAATAAGCGAGCTTATCTATCCTTTTTTTTGCCTGGCAATTGCAAGAAATTCCGTTCCCTAAATTGGAATTTAGATTCCCGAAAGAAAGACTTATCAAGACGATTATAAAATTTGTAATAAACAAGATTACAACTATTAAGCACAAATTGAAAAAATTAATTAGTTATATACAATTTTTTTATATTGATATAGATAATAAATAGTTGTGGAATGAACAACGTTGAAAAATATGGAAATGATGTGAAGCTTATATCAATGTGTCCTCGTTAGGGCGACGTTTCAAATGCGAAAATCTTATTGCGAGCATGCCAACTGCTAAAAATAATGTATCCAAAGGCGTCCAGGTGCTTCTGAGTAAATTGCTGTCGAAGATACACTAATGAGTTAGATCATTCCTCCAGAAAACGTACAAAACGTTCGTAAATATACGAAAAGATTCGACATTATCTGCAACAATAAGTTCCGGAAAAAAATATCATTCTTGAGACATCTCGCTTATTTGGTAACTAAAAATCTTTATTTTAATCAAATGAATATTACTTGTAAATAGTAATCGGTTACGTCATATTATAAAGACATGAACCTCCACAAGCGTTCTAAATATTCCTCCTCTGATTTTCACAATGACCTTTCGATTATTTCGTCCGAAAAAGGATAATCAATGCGGCGCTGGATTTCGAGTAAATAGCCGCGGAGACCTTTGGCTCTCGAATAGTAACATCGATTCCAAACATATCTTCTTTGGCAATGTTGCGCAATAGAATATATACAGTAGAGGTCGGTGAAACGCGATGCGCTTTAGGTCAGAGAAACGTTGATCACAAAACGTGTTTTGTATGTAAAGCGATCGTCGAAAGGTATTTACAATTCGTTTTTCATACGCACGTTCTGATCGTTCGATTGTTTATTTGATTTGCATTTAGTTGCATCAATATTCGAAGAAGTTTATTAACGCGGCACGTGTGCGTGCCTAATTAATTTTTACGTTAATTATATTTTTTATGAAATCCTAGTCAACATCAACCTTCTTACAAGTAATTTCAAAGTAATCAATATTTCTTATCCTTATCGATCTTACTTTTGTATTTGCACATACTATTGACATTAATTACCGTAAAGTTCCGATGACGCAACCATAATGTTCTTCGAAATAACGAGTTGTGCGAGTTTTAAGAATTTTTACATTACACATATATGCGTCTAGAACGCTAAACTTTTAAACGGATTAAAACAAAAACTTGATGATTAGTTAGTTAGAATAGCTGTTATTTAAAAAATTATTAAAAAATGTAATTATTAATTAAATTATTTACAAACTGTAAGATAAATATCTAATAAAATTCTATTTAAAAATATTTTAAGATTACCATTTAAGAGTACCATTTTTCCTAAGGAAGATTTTTTACATCCAAATGCATAAATATTTCCAATAAAAGCAGAAAACATTTTATTCAACGAAAGGATAGCTTCATGATATAATAACATCTATAATTCACAAGTTACACGACGGCATACGTCGTCAATGTCAACCGCCAGGAAAATGTCGTTTTCCGACGATAAGATTCCCGTGACAAGATAATTCAAACGCGTTGTCACGAATATCGTTTCTTTTTTCGCTAACTTGACGTCATCGCGTCGATCTTTTTCCTCCTGCACAGGAACCAGTCGTGGTCGGCGTGTTCTTGAGAAATACACGCGTTTTCTTACGTTTGACCGAATACGTAACCGCGGACGTATTATCAGCAACTATGGCATCCTGCGTGTTCGCTCTATTTACATGATTGGAATGTGCTTCTTTACACGAAACACTTTTTATCATCTTAAACAGTTTGCGTATTGACCGAGTCTTAATACGAGTGTATACACATATGTCAGGCACGCAAAAAAATCGTTTTCCAGCTTTCTGACCATCGATTCTCTTGCCTTACTGATATATGCGCAATGTAGATCAGCACGAGGTCGACAGCGCGATGTCCAACAGGTGTTTCACGACAAATGAATCTTTTCTCAAGGATACGCTTATGTCTAACATTCGTAATATCCTAATACATTGCGTATAAAGTAACAAAACTATTTACTATATAACATCTTATTGCAAAAATGGGAATTATTGAATATGAAATGGAAATTTCTTCTTCTTCTTTTTTTACAAGTACGATATAGAATATTTAATTTTTATAAGGATCTTAAAAAATTTGCATACCGCACTTCTGCGGCGAGTCATAAATTAACAAGCGTGTTGCTATGTCTACCAGGTTTCCGCGGTTTACAGTCACGCGGATGTATATTATACATAATTCTGCTTGTAAATTTTTACGCCAATCAAACCAATTCTCACGCGGATTCGGTGTCGCTAAATTCTCGTGTGACCAAGGATCGGGTAGAGTTTTTAACAAGAAAAAAAAAAGAAAATGGTGTTTCGCTGGAAGAGCTTTACTCTGTAGAATTTCGACGCGCTGCAAATCATAGTGCGACATTTAAATCACCCAAGAGTCCCACGTGGAACAATTTAAAAAGAATATATTTTCGAGTCGAAAGACTCTGCGCGTGCAAATATTTCTACAAAAGGCCCGTATATTTATACTTCGCCAGCGAGTGTGGAATAACAAGCAGAATGATGTAAACCGTCGATTTTCAACTACAAACTTTCCTATTGCCTCGCTGGCAATCCTATTTAAATCTTTTTACGGTCCGACTTAGGTCTTTTATCCAGACGCAATAAAGTTCATGCCGTATGAAGTTCCGTGGAAGTTTTGAAGCTCCACGAAACATCTGTCTCCATGACGGATAGAACCGTCTTGAAGTTGATTGATTCTTCTCTTTTCTGTACTTTTGTACTTTTAAAAAATTCCTATAATAAGAATTAGTGTTATTTGTTCGGCTCGGTTGAAATCCCGATATGAGGCGACTTCTCAAGGCGTACCGATGTCTGCCATACGATTTCCTGGTTTTCGCGAATCATCGAAGGCACTACGTCAGACGGTAGATCAACAACCGGGTGATATGATAACGCCAACGATCACGTGCGGCGCGAGCCGCGCGCATTATCGTGCTGCACTATGTAAATCCCATCTGTATATAGCTTTCCGGCCTTATCTCTCGCAGCCTCGAAATGTACTGTTCTGAAATATGTTTTGGGCGATCCCGCGTTCACGATCTCTTACTGACGATCCTCACTATCGGTCTGCCAAACGGGAACTCCGAAGCCAGACAGTATAGATATACGTCTGACGCTGTGATTCCACCACTGTGGTTCTAGTGTGTCAGCATAGTGATGAATAGAAGGCTCACATTTTCTTCGTGCGCCTAAAACCGGTCCGTTGTTTTAGAATCAAGATTCCGTGGAAAAAACCGAAGGACAAGAATTAACAGAGACAAAGCATACCTACTTAGCTTTCAACATTAAATGCTCTGTCGTTTAAAACCACTTAAAGTTCTTTACAATCCTCTCTCCATCGTTGTTCAAAAGCTAGTATTTATTTTTATTATAACTTTTTATTTAACTTTTTATTTAAGTTTTTTTTTGCAATTTTTAGTTTTATTTAAAAATAAGTATTTAATGTAAAATATCTTTGAAGTAAAATTAGAGAGAAAAGCTACATACATGTATAAAAAATCTTGAATGAAAAAAAATCTTATAAGTACGTCTATAAATTTTTTTTTTTTTTTTTCGAAAACAAAACTAGTTTCAAAGTTAATCTGATGCACATTTTATCGAAGTTTGTCATATTAGGATTTTAATTTACACGCTCCGTAGATATCTTAGTGTGTTACAAAGTATTTCATTACACATATAGTTTGACACGCTTATTAACCCGAAAACTATTTAAAAAACGAAAAAAACACATTAAAATTACTGTGACGTGAGCTTCATTTTTTTCGACACTGGGGTGTAAAGTAACAATCACCTCAGGTGATTGTTTATACAAAAGAAAATGAGGTGACCGTTCTCGGGTTAAAGAATTAACAAGTATATTACTTCCATTGTACCGCACGATGTGCAAAGCATGTTCAGTAATTTTTTTCTTAAAAAAATAAAAAACAATCAATATATTGGCTGCGTTTAGCAGAAAAAGCTACTTTGCAACTGTTGTAAAATTTGTAAGTTTGATTGGTGTGTACTCTTAGCTTCGGCTAAAATTAAAAGCATACATCAATCAGATTCACAAATTTTACCACAGTTGAAAAGCAGTTTTCTCTACTGAATTGCTAAACGCAGTCATAAATTGAAACGGAATGTGCGTTACATTATAACAAAAAACTGTCGTTCGAGTAGGTACTTGTACCGTACGTAGTGCATTTCGTATCACTCTAATGTCTCGCGCTGCGCGATTGTTCGTAATACAGATGAAAATAATGACGCGCTGAAAAAGTTATCAGAAATGATTCGAGAAATCTAAGCTAAAGCGCTTAACGTCGACACTTCACGGGAGATATGATAAGAGAGTAGCTCGATAAGCGCTTGCTTGGAAGTCGCCTCAATTTCAGACTCATAATAACAGACATGTATATCATGATTAAATGCCGATTAAGGGCATTCTTTTCTTACTACGATGTGTCAAAATAATTTTTATACCTATAACAGTAATGATTCTTATGATCTTAGTAATAATTATTTATAATTATTAAATTAGAACAATAATAATCATTAAACATTAAAATAGTTATTAAGTTTCTCTTATTCTTCTTAAATATTTTATTAAGATATTTATATATCTTTACACATTTATATCTCTACAAAATTTTGCAAACTATTAATAACAGCAAATCTAGCATTTTTATACGTGTGTTTTGGCTACATTACGATTAAATTAAAACTTACAATCGGATTTATTACGCGCTACTACTTTAAATGCTTATCGGATCTCTTTTTAATGTTTGATCGAGAATAATTAAATCTTCATTCAGCTGTCTTTATGCTAGACAACTGGAAATTTTACAAAGACGATAAGATTATTATTGTGTTGATATTAAGGGGTCGATGAAGCAATATATTCAGCAATTTGACATTACGTGCATATTTAAACGAATCTTTTTCTTCAAGATGTATCTTTTTGCAAATCAAACTATCTACCGAAGATGAATAAATTGTTGTGCGCACATCATTGAGATATAATACAATAAATATAAGATATTCCAGCTGGAATGTCCAAGTGTTCGCGGATTTAATTTTCAAGAAATATTTGAACTTTTTCTGAAGTTAATAACAGTGTGGCGCGGCAGTTGGCCGCTCATTGCGACTCGCGCGTTGCTTCTGAAAAAGGATCTATATTTAGAGCCTGCGCTGGCACCGTGCCCTATGCTTTAAATATTTTCTGTTCGATCAACGAAATGATGAAAAGTTTCGCATCTACACGGTTGCGTAAGTGGCCGAAGTAGACCGGACAGGTCGTGACGCCAAACTGCGAAGTTTAGGTCCGTCCAGAGGAAAAAAGAAAAATGTGTAAGAAAGAATGGACTCATGCGCTAGCTATTCGTGCATGGTTTTTCGACACGCTTGTTCTCGCGATGAATATTTGGATCGTGCAACGGCGCTCAAATGCGTCAATGACGGAAATATAAATAGCGTGATAAAACTCCGTTCTATTTTCTCTCTCCTTCTTCTTTATAAAATTGCGAAGACACATCAAAGTTAAGATTTGAATTGGTGAACGAAAGAATTTCACGTTCTCTGTATATCGTGCTTTTTTAAGACTTGTCAAGAGATTATTAAATTTGCTAAACTTTCCAAGAATCTATCATTCTGAAGAATATTTTTATGTTCATCAATTTGTCCGTTTGCTTGTTTAATTTATTATGTATTTTTACATGATAGAATATAGCATATAACTATGAAGTATTCTTACAACACACAGAATATAAGGAAACTTATAGAAGACGATAGATTAATAATCTTCTCTCACGGTTTTTTTCCCTTCAGGCATGACTGTTATCTTCTACGCTTGCTTCTACGCCGGACTGGCGATACTTTTCAGCATTTGCATGAAAGCCATGCTCGCCACATTGAGCTATGAGAAACCCAAGTGGACCTTAAGCAGCAGCCTGATAGGTACTAATCCAGGTAAGACTTTAACTACAGAAATTACTCGCTCCATGTCTAAAAAGTTATTAAACGATCTGGTCATATTTTCTATTGTTAATATCACTTTTTTTTGTTAAAATATATTTTCAAAAAATATCTCGAATGACTTTTTTTCACTATACTGAACATAATATTGCTTTTTGAGATTTTAACAGTAACAAAATATGTGGATACATAATATTATATAGATTGCTGCTACGATTAATTTCATCGGACATTGTGTATTGTTACATATTAGAAAAATGATATGATAATAACAACACTTCCGCATCTTAATCTAATCTTTTTCGCCATCTCTGAAAAATTAGAAAAATTTTGACACTGGTTTTAAAAAAATTGATCCATTAATGAAAAATTAAACCTATTGTCGCCATCTCCGAAAAATTAGAAAAATGTTGGCACTTCCTAAATCTGAATCATTGAATAAGTAGTACTGTGAATCAGTGAATAGTCACTGATATCAGTGTAAAGTATGCCACTGATTCAGGAAAAGTAGCATACTTTACACTGATATCAGTGACTATTCACTGATTCAGATTTAGAGAGCACCGGTTTCAAGAAAATCGGTTCATTAATGAATGAGTAGTTCGCGGTCAGACATACAGACAGACACATCAGATACTTATTATATATATATATATATAGTCAAAAATGTAGATACAACATACATATATATAATCACCCTATAAAAAGTCTTTTTATAGATAATGTAATAATCGTATAATGATCAAATTGACACGTTACATATTACGAATTTGAAATACGAGAGACAATAAACTAATTTTATGTAATAAAATTACGTAAGTTAATTTAAAAAATATTAATAGACTATCAATAGTAATCGATTTTGTAACTAAATTGAAAATTTTTAGGCAAATATTATTATGAACATAAACTTATTGAATGTTCGATGTTGAACATAAGGAACTATAACCATTTGCAATGCGCATAAGTAACAACTTCGTTTATTTAACTTGCTTAAATCTTTCGATTGTTTGTCAATACAATTACCAGGTTTGGGGTACCGACCGATTCCGGAGAACCCCGATGAGAGATCACTTATTTGGTACAACGCATCAAATGCATCCGAAATACGGAAATGGACGAAACGCTTGGACATGTTTTTGGAACGTGAGTAACAAGGCGACTTATTGTTATGATAATGGCAACTTGAGTGTCATTAATGCACATATGCGTGAAACAATTATCGTCAGTAATACCGTACACATTTTTTTAACTGAAGGTTATCGTAGATATTTATATACGTACGTATTTTTTAAAGCACTAATTTCCATAGAAATATGGAGTAGAAATATGATTAATATTTTCCGACGTTGTTAAATTTAAATTTATGGATGAATATCCCGAATTTCTCTTTTATTTTTGTAAAATACTATTATATTATTAATTTTAAATATATAAATGGTGTCATTGCGAAACGGATACACATTTAAAAATATTTTTTTTACATTATGAGTTTCTTATTATTTAAACAATTTTTTCATTCTTTCGTATTATATAATAAGTATAATCCAATCGTGTCTCTATTACTTGGATAGAATACATCAATTCATCGCTTTTGCCAAATGGCGGAAGAAACCAGCAGATCTGCAGTTACAACATGCCAGCGAAGCCTGATAACGTATGTGCGGTTGACGTAAACAATTGGGGACCATGTTCTCCAAATCGACAATACGGTTTCAACAACTCGGCACCTTGCGTTTTCATTAAACTTAATAGGGTAAGGCAGCGACACGCGCATAAAATCTTTCTTTGCAACACAATGTACCTTTATTTATCCATTCCTAGAAGTATTTTCATTGTAAGGAGTGTTAATAATCGAATCTAATAAAGAAATGAATATCTTATCCAGAATATCTTATTAATTTTATTTAAATAAAATCTTTATTTGAATATATATCTAAAGTTCAGTGTCTTGAGACAATTATGGATATTGCACTTTTTTATAATTTCTGTGTGCGTTTATTCATTAAAGATAAAAAAATATTACGTTTATAAAATTTATGAATTCAAATATAGAGATAGTTTATTAATTCGTGCTTTGTGGCTTTGGATGGATTTCCATACAATACCATACAATTCAATACTATTTCTTACATCACTCATTTTTATTACATAATCGCCTTACGTTATCTTATATTCAATCATATGCGTGGTTATAATTAATTATCTAAGTCTTCCTGACTGTCCCTCTCCATACTTGTTATTATTATTATTATACACATTAACTAATTTGTAATAATATTTAATAACTTAAAACTTACATTGACATTCGAGGTTTCAAAACTCAAAAATCAGAATTTTTACGCAAAAACAAAATTTACAATTTAGCATTCAAATGGAGAACTTTTACTTTACAATTCTATCTATTTAGGTATTTGCATCTTACTCATAATAGCGAAACTTCTAAACTCAAACTTTCTGACTCCGCCACTAAACTTATGATCAACATGCGAGATTCAAACTCATGGATTAACACGACAAAGCTTTTAACTCGTGCCTCAAATTTTTTCTCACTCTTTCATAATATTTTTACATCACAAAACATAACTCTCCATACTCCAAACTCAACAACAGAACAAAATTTAATTCAAAATCCAAACCTAAGAGCCAAATTTAAAATTTTAATGTTAAATCCAAAATTCATTATTCAAGACATACAACTTAAGAAGCTACATTTAGACTCAAAATTCTTTAAAGAAACTTTTAACTTAAAAACTCATGTGCTCCAAAATTTTTATCCAACTCTCTCTTTATATTTTATGATTTCCTAGACGTCCGCGTTGTCCTATAGATATAGGAGATACATGTTATGGAGAGATCTCCAGTGTCTTCTCTCTCTTTCTCTTCCCGTTGCTTGCCCTTTTATTGTTTTTCTTTGTCTTTTTTCTCTTCTGTTCTTTCTCTTTTCTCCTTGTTTTCTAGTTCCTGCCCTTGGTCTCCCAGAATTTTTAACTTTATCTCTTTCTGGTCGCTCCTCTCTTAGAGTCTTCTTTCTCTACTACATAATACTCCCTTCTCTCATTCCATCGTCACTTTGCATCTACACATAACTTGTGATAACCGACTTTTACTAGTTTTCCGTTTTTCTGGTATTTTCCCGCTAGATCTCTTAGTTTCTTTATGCTTCTTTCTCTTTCCTGGTTAGGTCATCCTCTATGTACACACATCTTTTCAGCTCCTTTCTTGCCATTATCTTTATTTTGTCCTTTTTTCTCTTAATCTCTAGCTAGTGTTATCATATATTCTTTTCCATCTTTTCTATAAGGGTTTAAATATTAAGTAAAAGCAACCCAGGTAGCATGGTATTATATTCAGAAACGTTTCCGAGAAATGTGTCTTACAAACGCTTATGAAACGTTACGTACATTAAATAACGTATATGAAAGCAACATGTGCTACATGGGAGCCTAGCAAGAGCGCATACATCTTAAAAAAAAATAAATGTGTTTATCAAAATTGTAAAAATTTTATCGTGCACGTATATTATTGTCTTACATTTACACTTTGATTGCTGCAGCATTGCATGTACAAATTTATTTAATAGAGACATTATCTATTTTTTTTTTATTGTTTCCACGATATGATTATGTATAAGGTCCCTTTTAAAATTTTTTAATACGTTACTTTTCAGATATACGGATGGATTCCCGAGTACTATAACAACACTCAAAATTTGCCGAGTGAAATGCCAGTGGAACTAGTCAAATACATAAACAAAGTCGACGCTTCATGGGTTAGTTAGTCGGTCAGTCAATTATATCAGTCGATAAACTAAATCTGGATTGAACGAAGATCGGAAAGAAAATTCAGCGTTTAGATTCGCAACGTAGTATTTGTGCATCAGTCTACGTATGAATTCTCATAACTCTATACCTTTGAGAGATACTTACAAATTAAGAAACAAACATTTAAATTAAGAAAGGAGGATTTTATTTGAAATTGTTTTTTAAACTTGGCAATAGAGCGAATTAAAGTGATATCAACTCATTTTTATCTTTGTAATTGATTAGTCTTTTTAGTAGTATTATCTATTTATTCAACAACCAAGGATAAGGATTGTAAACCAATATCGATGATTGTATATGTTTGTGTATATTGTGTCTGTATGTGCATATATGTGAGATACGTTCGATCTCTACGAACATAACTGTAAATTATCAAGATCAGTATTATATTTCACTCAATCTCTTCGTTCTTTACTGACGTTGCGATAACAACTCTTGTTACGCGATATAAATGTTATTACGGAAATTTTATTGGTATATAATACGTGTACCAAATATTTTACACACATTTACATTGCATAGCAGCAGATGCTTATGCAAATGTAAATTGATATAAAAATAATAGTTTCTTCTCCTAGTATGTAAAGTATAATCGGATACTAGCTTCAAATAAAATAAAATTTTATTTTATCAAAGAAGTTTGAGCATATACATATATTCAATAATAATTCTTTAAAGAAGTGTCGTAAAAAAATATTATACTTTTTAAATATGCTATTTGAAGTTTAAAGGATCTTCAAAAAACCTAGAAGTTTGAACGAAAATTTAAATTAAATTAACTTTTATTTATAATTATAACCTACAGGATTTCTTACTGTTATGTAGTTTTAAATAGAATTATAATATCAATACTTCACGTAATATACAGTTCGTATCTTTCTTACATTGCAGCTAAATACCGTATGGGTATCTTGCAAAGGAGAGAATCCTCATGACCGAGAAAGTATCGGTGAATTGAATTATTATCCTGAGGGACACGGCTTTCCAGGATTCTATTATCCATATGAAAATATTCCCGGATACTTAAGTCCCGTCGTCGCCGTCCATTTTCTTCGACCAACAAGTAAGTTGATACTAATATCAAATGTATGATATGATATAACAGGAATGAAAAAAAATGGAAATTCTTACCTTAAAAGAAGAATGCAAGTATGCAAAAAATCTCCAATTACGGTAATTTTTAATTTTTGGATAAACAATATTATCTATATTATATAAAATAAGTTTGTCAATATAATTTCAAAGGACTACAACTTTTTTTATTATATCGCTTTCTGTGGCTTTAAAATATGTTTCCTAAAGCCTTAAACCACGTTAAAACTGTCGGAAACTTCCATATTATAGACTTTTCCGGTATCCAACGTGATATACAATTAACACACGTATCGTTGTGTGGATACACAATTTTTTTAAATTGAAACTGCCACCATTGACTGGTTCATGTGACTCGTAAGCAAATGACGCACTCCAGATGAAACCGGTAAAAGCCGGTGTGTTGCAGCACGGTATCGGTCGTCGAAAGGTGCCATCGGCCTGCTTGCTTCACTCAAAGCTGTACCTACTCGCCATTTAATCTCATCCTATTTTAATAATCTTTCGTAAATCTTATATCTTTTTTTATACATATATTTAAAATAATATAATTAATAGATAATATTAAAGATTCTACACGATGCTTTACATGCAGATTACGTAGTTCGTTTATATCTAAATTAATTAATTTAATTATATTTTTATAAATATAATTAAGTTTATTAACTCATTAATTATCTTTATTATTAAGTAAAAATATTATATGTTGCTATGACTTAATAAATTATTAAATTTATATTAATTTAGAGGATTATTTAAAGGATGTTAAAATAGGCCAATTTTTATGCGCTTTTGGAAATAAATTTGCAATAATAAATATTATTTATTTCGTATTTAGTAGATATAAATAACTTGAAAAATGCAATAAAATGTAAAACATAATAATATTAAATTACAAGACTTTGTTATATATCCGAAAAAATTTGACGAGAAAAGAACAAAACTCTTGTCGCGTTATTCCGTACTAAAAAGGTTTACAATTTTATTAAAACGTTTTTATATCAACAAAAACCTAAACCCCCGTGAAAAAATCTAAGTTTGTTTATGTAAAAATTTAAAATACATCTCATGAGCACACCAAGAAGTTTTATTCTGAATTGAACTTTTTCTTGCAGGAAACCAGATCATCAACGTAGAGTGTCGAGCATGGGCGAAAAATATCAAGTACAGTTCGTATAGATCCGAAAAGAAGGGTGCAGTACACTTTGAACTGATGGTCGACGAATGATCGTACGTCATAATCGTCGAGATCGTCATTACCCTCGACTCGCTCCCGATTTCATAGTTTTATTGTTCGAATAAGAAACCATGCACGAAAACGAAAGATTCGAACACGTTATAGAGAACACTACGTGTATGGATATTCGATCACGATGATGGACGATCGCTCGTGCCTAGAAAAATTTAGTAGGTTAATGAAATTGTTATTTTTTAGAGATATTGTTTACATAATTAACCAATCGGCATTCTTGCTTATATCAAGCCACTAGTTCGAACTCATAATCTTAATAGAGAGTTTTATGTCAGAGTTTCTGTTTTGTGACAAAAAGATTGTCTCTTGTTGATTTACAGGTACGTACATAAAAAAAATACTAATAATAAGGGAGATATATAGAATATGACTGACTTTCGTTCGACGAAAATGTCTTAAACTAATAGTTTTGCATATAATTTTCAATAGTAAAAACTTACTAACTAAACAATTGAAGAAGTTAGATAATTAAAGCATTCATTACTCTTATATTTTGGCTCTCAAAATCAATTTCAAATTAATTAAAAAATTGAAAGAATTAAAACTAGAACAAAGCTACATTAAAATTTAATGATTTTAGGAATAAGGAGATTTATGAATGTAAAGAAATATTCTATGAACAAACTATACTATGCAATAAATTAAGGAATCAGTTTTTCTTCTACAAAAAAAGATAATTTTTTAAAGCGCTGCAACTTTGCCGAAGATAATCGAATTGAGATTAGTAATAAATTCTTACTCAAACCAGATTTTCTTCTCTTATACTGGTTTATTACTAGCTGATCTCAATACGATAATTTCAAGAATTACAGCAATTTAAAAGTTATCTTTTCCTTCTTTCTTTTGCATACTATAGATAAAAGTTTTCATAGCTTTAATCATTTTCTTTAGTATTTGAAGATCTACATACAATGTCTAAAAATATTAAGAATATAAAAATAAATATTAGAATTTAAATGTCACAAGCTAAAACATAATATTCATGTTTAAGTATGTTACGATTACAAAGAGTTAGACATATGTACAAATTTTTCTTTTACCTGCTTTTTTATTTTTACTTAAAAAAAAACCTTATTTGATCTTAATTCTTAGTACACATATAAAATATAAATTTTAATAATGTCAAGAAACATAAACAAGCATATCAAAGAACTTATCAATCTATAGATATAAGCATGAAGGACTCAGGAACCAAAAAGAAAAACAAGAAAGAAGAAATATAAAAGTTTAAATAATTTGGACATTATTTTTTTTTAATTGAAGTTGATTATCCAAAAATATAAGTAACTAATTTTTATATTAAAATATTGTTCTGAAAGTTTTAAAAATGCAAATTATATTATTTTTGAAGTATCCTATATACCTCTTATTGTTCTAGTATCTTGATTTACTTGTACGTATCAGAGTCTTTAGAATTGAACAAAATATAGGTATGCTCGAATCATCGATGTGAATAATTTGCTTGCACAGCGTTCTAGTACTTATTGAGGTATAGGTGTAAAAATAAATTGTACAGAATGAAATAATATCGCGTTCTATAATTATAATTATTATTTTTTAAATAAATGACAATAGTGGAAAAATAATTCGACGTACAAGTACAAACGTCTTTTTAAATAAGGGCGAGCATTGTGTAATCCTTAATTTATTTCATTGCGATTATATGATGGTGTTAATTTATTATCCCACTCCTTGGCTCCTAGTCTATTTTGTATGTTAAATTATACATATAAGTAAATTGTACAAGAGCATGTAGTGTTCTTATCAGATATATATTTGTCGAACATTTGCAATATTAAATAAATTTACCTAAATTCTAAATGCAATGATCTGTTAAGAATTAGGTACACATATATTGTCCAGTGATACTTGAACTTTTCTAATTATGGGCACCCTTTTCACGTAAATAAGATTCTGGGGTTACATCAATGCGATACCTGTTTGATAATATGGGAAATCGTTGTCTTTGACATCATTTTTTTCTTATGTTTTGTTGCCAAGTTCTTTAGCATCGATATTACATTCTCATATGTATTACATAGTAGAAATGTAGTGCATTTCTATTTCATTCGTCGGGAATTTTAAAAAAGGTATTTTTATGTACCGCAGTGTCAAACGGTTGAGTAATAAGAATATGAAAACGATGAGAATGAGTTATCAATATCCCGCATTTTATCACAAAAGTAAATGTATTTATGTTAGCATAGGATAAAAAATCTGATCCTAATTGTTTGCTGTTATTTTTTGCTATGTAATAAACATGATTTTTACAATTTGGAGAACATCATCACTTTCCGATTAATTTTTAACGTCATATATATTATTTTCATTTATGCATAAATGCAATTATAATTGAACTGCTGAACGTATTTAGCAAAGAAATGAATTAAAAAGTTTTCCTTTGTTATTAACTAAAAATTGTGCTCGCAGATAGTGTCTGCTATATAATTTCTGAGAGCTCAAACTTATTAGCTGCCATGTCGTAAAAATATTTTTACATGTATACATTTAATATCAAATAAGTCGCAATTACATGATAAAAAGAACAAACAGATATCGATATCTTTATATCGAGAAAACGACATATACCTTTTGTATTTAATCCTGCCATTAATCGTGAGTCATTAAGCTATAGCTTGACATACTTTCCGTGAATCACAAGCCATTACATTATCATTCATTTCTATATATCTCAAACCTATGAACACTATTTCTCTCTTCTTTTCCTTAAAAGAAAAGAAAATTATCTTATTTCTAGAATAATTTTTACAACATATATGTAATCGATATTTCAAAGCTGAAACATCGTTTAAAGAGATAAAAATAAAAAAAGTAGGGTATATCAATATTTTTCTTTGTTTTGGTTCATACTTTTTGTTATATTCTATTATTGAAAAATCTATTCTTTATTATATGCAATATTGGCGTATATATAACGTTAATTTATAAATTTACATTAAAATTTTTTTTAATCTGCATAGCATTTTGTCAGATTTCTCAATATTTACAGATACGGACCAGGTATTAAATATCTTAAATATTATCATGTTGACAATATTTGTCATTTTTGCTTCAAATTTGTTTTTTTTTATTTGTAAGAAATTATACGCTTATTATCTATTTCGCGATTCTTAATTTCTACTTGACAAAATTACTAACGCGTTCCAATAAGGTAAAAAATATGATATTACCTGAGGACGTATTAATTTCTAGTAGAGTGTCATTTGAATATTACAAAAGTCTTCAAAATTGCACGCCTGATTATAAAAAAATCTACCCAGCTACCATTATACATATATATGTATATGAGTATATTAAATAATTCCAAATGAGATTCTTTTATATATGCTATTGTGTCGGTCGGTCTTTATATATAAATTGCGCTTATGAGCAAAAAAGGCACGTGTAAACGATTATAATTCTTTGAGATTCCATTATTCCATTCTTTCATTTGTTTCTAATTTTCAATTGCACAAAGGCGAGTTAAATTCGCGCTTATGAGCAAAGGAAGGCACGCGTAAGTGATTATAATTTTTTGAGATTTCATTAAACTATTCTTTCATTCGTTCCTAATTTTAAATTGCACGAAAATGTGTTAAATTCGCTATAAAAACTTCTTTAATCTGCAAGTACGCAGTAGATATCAACGAGAATAACATTGTACAAAATATATATGCAAAATAATATATTGCCGACAAATTAAAGTCAAAATTAGCAATATAAGATTGGAACATTAACATTCAAGCTTCTTTATATTAGCTTTCTCAAAGAGGATATTGTAATTTTATCTTGTATGAATGTTGTATATGACAAAACTATTACATTCTTAGAATTCTTGGAATAATTAATCACTAATTTAATTGACGAACTCCAAATGGCAGATGTAAAACGACCGTTTAGTTTATATATAAAAAATGTCTTTTATGCATGCTAAAAATATTCCGTTTATAGTTATAAGAATAAAAAATGTCTTTTACACATGCTAAAAATATTTTCTATAGACTTCTTAGATAAATTTGGTATGAATAGATTATTGAAACGAAAAATCTAAAACAGCAGATTTGTGAAAGATATTCTACGAAGTGATGTTGATTAATGAAGACCTTTCTCTCTCAATGAACGTTCTAATTATTAATATCAGCGCCTCTTTTTTCAGTCGTTATCCTCGCCGATATGTCTTCATTCAGCACATACATATGCAATCTCTCAAAATTCATGATTTTCATGTGTAATCCATTTAAAACGTCAGGAACGTCTATTGTAAGAATTCTTTTCGTTTTGTACTCGATTAATGTCATCCCAGAGAGTCGGCGGCATGTTGTCGACTTCGGAGAGATTATATTTGTTCACATTTTTATTATTTGGAAGATGAAGATTTGCCTAATGGCTACCTCAAATGTCCCCAAGACACTCGTTTTACTTTAAGAGACTTGCATAGGGAGCCGAAGGCTGTTTTTAGATTTCGTTAATCTATCATCAGCTCGAAATGGACCGCGCCGATTTTGTCGTTACGACTATGCTTGATATTTTTTGCCCATGCTTTGCATTCGACATTTATCAGAATTCCGGCTGAAAATAAAAAATAAATATAATGTAGCTCATATGTTTCTGTTTTTTCATTATTATATGACATTTTTGACGTCAATATCGTGATAATTGAGAAACTGCTGAATCTAAGTAGTTGTTATCTTCTAATAAATGAACAGAATAAACTGAATTAAACACTATTCTGCGAAAGAAACTCGTCATTTTTATTAATACATACTGCAAAAGCTCATAATGGTCATTCCAGGGTCAACAAAGCGAGAAGATTAAAAAACGGATTACACAACGTGAATAACAGGAATGCAATTCTTTTTGCACAATGTGCTACTAAATATAACAGCTTTCTTCTAGTATAGTGTTTAATTGATTGTATTCTGTTCACTCATTACAAAATGATAACTAGTTAGCTTCAACATTTCTCAATTGTCATCCTATATATATATATTGTGGGCATATATATATTTATTATACTTACTTCGTGGTCTGACAAAGTGCACTGCAACCAGCGGACTCAAATATCCTTCGGAATTTTCATAAGGATAAAAGTAACCAGGAAAACCGCGTCGTGGTAAATAACTAATTGGGCCAATGTTCTCCTGATCAGCAGGATTTTCACCTTCGCAGGATACCCAGATTGTGTTCAGCTGCAAGGAGTTGTTTCCTTTCAGACTAGCGATGTGTTCCTTGAGATCGAGTGGCATCTTTTCCGGTAAATGTTGAGTATCGTTGTAAAAGTCTGGTCTCCAGCCATAAATCTAACGGACGAAAATATTATAAAGAATGTTATATGTATATTGATTTGTATTAAATATGTATGTAATGATTTTTTAGTTGATATTTAGTTGTTGATAGTATTTAAAAAAATTATATTTGTTAATAAACATCTTGTTATAGATAATCGAATTAATTCTACATTATGATGTACGTACTTTGTTCAGCTTAAGGAAAATGCAAGGAGCGGATTTGTGATAGTTATATCTGTTCTCCTTGGTACAAGGATGCCAATTTTTCACATCAACATCACAAACTTTTCCGGGTGGCGGCGGCTGATTATAATCGCATTTGTTAATGTTTGCGCCAAGACCAAGAACAGACCCGGGTGTTATATAATCTGAAATTAATGTTACACGAAATATTGCAAATATTAACGACAATTAAAATGTAGGTATTTGGCAACTTGAAAATGATTATAAAAATTAATTAGGAATAAGGTAAATGCAGATGTAAGATGAATTAGAATTTATTTAGAATTTATTTAGAATTCAATGTCCTATTCTGAACGATATGAATTTCTTTTTTTTTACGGACGGTTACCTTTTAAGAAATTTTGTAGTGAATCAACCCAGTGTTTGAAGTTTTCACTGTCGGTGCCTCTGTACCAAATCAAAGTGCTCTCCACATTCTCCGTCGGCGGCATCGGTCTGAATCCCAAGCCTGCGAAGCGCAACATCGACGTTTATTTTAAAATTTGCAACATCTTTCCGTATCTTAATTTTTTATATATTAAAAACTACAAACTAATAAATAATCTGTACAAATAACTTAAAATAGTCATGACGGCTATTAAATATTTAAAAAAATTAAAATATGTCATTGCCATTTATATATTGTATTTACTATTAACAAAAAATAATTTACCTGGATTTGTTCCAATGATGGATCTCTCGAGTTGCCATCTCGGTATCCTTGGATCGAGCGTTTGAAAGAATCCCCAGAAACAAATGGCAACAAGCGCCGCCAGAACGCCGTAGAATATCAAATAAAAAAGTCCGATTTTACCTTGAAAATAGAATAAAATAATTAAGTAAAAGTAATAAAATAATTAAAGAAGGATATCCGAAATCACATTTCGAAAAAACTCTATTCGTTATTCGCAAGAGTTGTCGAAAATTTTCCGATCATTCTGAATGCTATCCGAATATTTATAATAGAACAATTGACACAAAATCTTTTTTTTTTAATAATTTCCTATATTAGGCATTTCAGAAATCTACTTTCTGATTCATATTTTTTTGCCGCATATTTCTGTTATCAATTTTTAATCGAAATAATGTTAAGGACGACTTCGATCAAACTTCGATTATTTCGGTGATTAATTCAAACGTAATATAATTGCATAAAGCAAAATTTCTGATTGTATAATTTGTCATTCCTGATCTAATTTTTTTCCGTATGTTAAACAACAAAAAATTAATAATTCTATCTATAATAACAAAATATTACTGGTATTATTTAATAAGTTAATCGCTGATTAAATTAATCAAAGTTTGGTCGAGTTATTTTACGAATACTCCAATTGAATTAAATATTGTTGTATCACGTTATATTTTAGTAAGTACTTTGAAGTATACATATACTTTTTCTAAATACAAGTGCTAAATATATTGCTTTCATAGGACCATCCGTGATCCAGATTATTGACCATCACATAAATCATCATACAATAACTTTAGCCATAACGTGCTTCGCGAAGAGTTAGTCGCATGTAGAGAAAGCTGATTCTCGTACGTTGTACTTCCTATAATGTAGGTTAATTATATTAACCGCGGATTCAATTCATAGAGGAAGATCAAAGCGCCTGGTCAAATGGTGCAATTCAATTATGCCTTAACGCGTCTCGCGACGTTGTTTTGTGGACATCGTTCATCAAATAACGCTACCGGGAACAAAGCGGTACACACACATGAAGAAAAATTATTGATATTAAATGTAGTACACTATATTTTCTTAAAAATTTAAATATACATTTTTGCCAAATATCTTGACACATATGTATACATAAATAAAAATTATACGCACAAAATTATTAATTATAACTAGTAATAACTAGATTTTTATATTTTATATTTATGAACTTTCAATTAAAATAACAATGAGAAATTAGTACCTCATTTTTTAGATTTTTAATATAATTGAGATAAAGTCCTTTCCACACAAAGAGTTCTTGAATTTTTGAGAAAAAAATACTAGAAATCTATTATAATTACATTAAAATTTTACAATTAGGATGTTAATTTCATAGAAATCGTAGGAGGGGATATGGAACGCTTACTACAGTCGGGTCAAAGGAGAGTCTTGAAGTATCTCTTATTCAGTCCCGTTAGGCGCGTCATAAAGTCGTTGGACGATACTATCGAGAAGTTAATTGTCTTTGACATCGTCATGGAATTTTATCAATAGACTATAGTCACGACTGCATAAGGGATAGGATGCAGTTACGAAATTATAGGACAAAATTAAATACCATTTTGCTCCTTTTTTTATCACTGTATCAAAATATGAATTTTTTTATATTTGAATATTTGAATCTTTTCTATTCTTTTTCTTATATTTGGCTACTTTTTCTAACAATTGGGTACATTTTGATCAACGCTTTTTTTCTAAATAAGTTCTTTCTGAATTTTAATCAATGATTTGGAAAAAGTAAGTTTTTTTGTAACTTACTCGCTTGTAATTTTTGATAAAATTATAAATTCTTAAAAAACCGATCAATGAAATCATATCTGTTTCTAAAGATATGTACTTTTCAAGAACAAGATACATAAGTTTAAAGAAACATTTTACAAGAGAGCGCTTCAAAAGCTTTATATCTCTTACAATTCACTCCTTCATTCTCAACTTTATCCTCATTTTCTTTGTTTATTTCAAATCAAGGTTACAAATAGAATCTCACAAATCAAAAAATTTAAAAATTTTGAAACAAGTTTTTTAAAAATTACTTCTAATTATTTAAAATGTGAGGAGTCCATAACTTTAATCTTTCTTTTTTAGACATTTAGTCATCCAGAAAGCTCTCTATGTAAAATATAACAAGAAATAATCTTTTTTTAAAATAAGGAATTGATATTTTGATTATTTTCAAGTGCATTCTTTTTTATATTAAATGGTGTCGTCCCCGGGAAATAATTAAACTGCAAAGAATATCGGTATCTCTCGTTCCTTATTGTTACTCGACTACTGAAAAGGCGCGTCTTCGAGCTTTCTTCTAAAGATAATAATGGAAAGTAGGAACTGCAGTGGTCCATTTAACACTTCTTGACTTATTGCTATAGGTAAAACGAACGTTAACGAACGTTGGCAGTAACGTCTTGCATCTTTAAAAGGCAAACCAATCATAATTATCTATTTTTGTTTATTCTTAAAAAAAAACTCAATACTAATTGTAAGATTTAGAGGATCTCCGCTAAAATTTTCATTTTCCTTATAAGAAATAGAATAAATAAAATATTACGAAGTAGTGTGTCTAATTATTATTTGATTTTTACTTGCAGATACTAAATATTCCTTTATTTAAGTGACTATTGATTGTAGTTTTTCTTATTTAATATTTTTGATATATTAAACAGTAGAACCTCTTACGGTTCAGTCATGTTCAGCGAAATAAAACCGAAATTATTTCGGAAATTAACATAACTTTTTGATTTATTCCTTTTACGAAGAATCGGTTATAGAGATTATACATTGACGTCTTGATCATCATGTTACGATAACACAGTCGTGTAACTACGATTCTGTTTTGTCTCGTTACGGCTGATTCGCAGAGTTTACAGAAACGCGATAAGCGAAATCTTATTCAATAATTTAGCTTACATTACCACAGTGCAATACGAGCCTCACAATGACGGCATTGGATCAGATCACACGTTCCTTAAATCGCGATCAGTAAGTAAAAAAATTACAATATTAGCTTCGTCGCATAGATTATTTTTTTTAATTACTAAAAGAATTTGCTTCTTTCATACAAAGAAGAAAAAGAAACAATTATGTGAAGCTTTTTTGCATTTATATGAATAAAAAAACCAGTTATTTGTTACAGGAGGCAAGAAGTTTACAGTTTCTCAAGGCAGGAGTAACGGCCGCTAAAGTCACTAATTGTGCAATTACATGATACAAAAGAAATGTATTTGAGCTGATTTTTAAAGAAAAATGGCAAGATCTGAGTCAACTTCGGCTCGGTTCGTTTCCTGGTTTTTGGTTAACTGCAGCTGCAACTTTCACGATTCGGATGGTCTTCAGGTGATTGTAAACTGGACGAAAGACAGCGGCACAGCCGCGTGGGTGTACCCTTCGGAATGGCCCTAAGTTACGTAATGCTGTAATGCCGCCGTTTAACGCCAATTGACCTCGTTATACACGTTTGCGCTAAAGGAAGTTTAACAATTGCCATTCAACCGAGCAAACCGTTGTATGCACCGCGAATCAAACACGCTCCATGCTTCCGTCTTTTTCTAGCTTCGCTTCCACTCACCTTCCTCGCTTGTCCCGCTTCGCAATGCTCCGGACATTAATATGGAGCCGCGTGAAAGATTTGATTGGAAAATAATGTTGTACAGAATTCTATCTCAAGTGTAAAATGTTGTGACAAATCTATCGTAACCGAAAAGCGCTTCCTTTATTTTTGTTTTAAAATGAAAGAAGTATTACAACGTTCTTTTCCAATGTCTTACTTTAAGATAAGAAACACCGAATAGAAGATTCGAGGGTGAGAATGAAGTATATAAAAAAAAGATTCTTTTTCACTGTATGTCAAGGTCTCAAGGTTACTAATTGTACTTCAAGGGTGTATCTTGATATATTTTTCGAAGCTTAGTATTACTGGTGACTTTAACGTATACAGGCTTCTGAGCCAATTAAATTAAAACAATTCTTGTGAAGCAACACGCAGTGTTGGCGTGTGCACTGCAAGTCTTCTCTTTGTTGTAGAAACGTGGAAAATGATAAACGATTGCCGATCATAGAAGAGAATAGATGTAACATAATTATCGCGTTATAAAATTATAATTATGATACCGATTTTTGACTAGTCGCAAGTACAGAGTATTTGATTAGATAGCAGTTTCAGCGATATTTTGAACTTAACATATTAAAGCATTCTTTGTTTTTGCATGTTTTATTCATTTATGTTTTTGGATATTTCGCCCCTAAAAATACCCATTTTATCAAAATAAATTTACTTGAAAAGATAGATTTATTTAGTAATTTAATTCCTTTGTGTTTGAATACTTTTAAGGGTTCGCTATGATATCCTCATTTGAAGATATCACGTTAAATTGCAAGAATGGCTCGCGTAAAGTGCACTTTTATACGGCGCGGGTGTGTAATAACCATTAGGTCGCCATAGCGACAGCCGTGAAACACACCCCGAGATATATGAAGACGGGGCTGACCACGTTCGGTTGTGATCGACGGCGGCGCCGGTAAGACTAATTAATTGAAGCTCGCAAACACTCTCCTTCACATACGCGACGTCATGAATGCCTTTATCTTCCCTAGACGTCTCGTATTGGAAAAAACACGTCATGTCCAAATATTTAAACTGTGTGACCATTCGCGAGATAAGCAATGTTGTCTCATGATAGTATCTATTAGTATGACGACCAGTTCGCCTGTTTATGTCTGCCGTGTGTTGATAAATTTATCAGTATAAATTGTATAATCAATATAAATATGTGTATATATAACTACATTAATTACAATTGTAATTTTACTCGCTTTTTCATCATAATTTACTTTTAAAAACACACGTCGTTTTTTCAATAATCCACGTTTAAAAACACGCATTAATTTCTTATAAATTCATATATTAATTCTTTTATATCCAGTATTTAAGCAACCAGAAGTCTAATTTGTTACAAATCCATGGATCTAAAAGTGCACTCTTGTGCGACTATAACTAGATATTAATGATTACGCGATAGTGGCAGACACCATCATATATCTTTGGTCATTGACACTATCACGTGCTAAGAACAAACATGCAGTAAAATACTAGGCTAATAAAATACTGGAATTAATCGTTAACATGCCGTGGTAACACATGCAACAACGACGGTGCACATCAATAGAATAAACGGTGCACGATCGGTAGGCATGCTTTTCAATTCTTTCATTCTTTCTATGTTTTACGAGTAGCACAGCAATAAAAAAAATATACGTAAATGGTACTACTACGTTATATTGTAATATTTATTTATTCTGAACTGTTACGTCATTTGTTGGTTTGATAGCTGAGTTGTGTCGCATTTCATACACTTCAACAAAGTAATTTTATTAAGAATCGTTTATATAGATACAAATATGTGTGTGTGTGTGTGTGTGTGTGTGTGTTGGAAAAATTGTCTCCGTGCGTGTCTTCCTTCTGGTTTACCTTTGACGTCATAAGTAATCGGGTCTAAGATAGGTAATATTGCCGGCTTAAGGATCGTTTGAATAATTGAAAGATTGTTACGTGTATCTATAATATAACAAACTCATACGGAAAACTATACAATAATAATCTACTTTTAGATACACTCAATTATATTATCGTATCTATCGAGGATAATTTCTAAATTCATTAACATAAAAAATTCTGAAATGTCTGTTAATCCAAAATCTTACTAGAGTAAAATATACAATATTTTATTATTATTATTTATATTTTATTACTAAAATTGTATATGTGTATATATATATATATATATATATATATATATCTTAAAAAAAATTTTTTTTAAATCACACTTTAATTCGCTATAAGTTATCTTATATAACTAATTCTATTAATAATTATGTGTGTGTGTGTGTATGTAATTAATTCTACATCATCATTATATGGTATTTTACAAGTCATTATATATGGTATTTTTAGAACACTTCTTCTTGAGTTACTTTCCGGGTAGTAGTTTCTTATATGTATGAAAGAAGATTGCATACATATCTTGTTCTTTTTTTCAGAATAATTTAAAAATTCTTATTATACGATTTATATATAAAATACTTTAGGGTTTGTTCACAAAATTATTCTAAAATGTCTTTCGTACCAGCTTGCTGGCACTAATCCTTAGTTTAATATATATATATTTTTTTTCTATCGGATTTTCTAATTATGTTTCTAATTATTTTTTAAATACGTATTGAAATTACGAGCGTAATCACGTTTCTGTCCTAATCTGGAAACAATTTTTGCTAGAATTAAAAACTTCTGTCTACTGTATATAGAAGCTCTATTATAAATGTCTAAAAATTCATAATTTTTTGTTTAATTCTCTCAGTCATGATAGGTACCTAAAAATATATGAATATTACATTTTGATTTTTTCAAATAAAAGCGGTTTTGTCTAATGTAACACTTAACGTTAACGCGCGGCGCTAATGGTATTTCCACTTATGCTCCATGTATATATATATATATACATATCCTCATTTATTCAATTATTATCATAGGCTGCGTGTGTGACTCAACAGAGTAAGTTGAAATGTTCTGCATACTTTAAGAAAAGAGTGATCGAAGAACATTACGTTGCATTTCTTTAGAAAGTATAGTAGAGAATCGATAATTTATTTGTAGATCGTGATGAATTGAGCAAAATTTGTATAATGCATATAAAATGATAATTTAAATAATTATATTGAAACTTAAAAAAGTCATTGAAAATATTACATTTTACTCTAAATAGAAAAAAAATAAAAATACAAACATATCAGTGGATTGAGTGAAAAAAATGAAATCAGCTGACTAGAAAAAATCTATTAAACACTTTAAGTTATACTTTATTTAAATACAAATATTTTAAACGTTACCGTTACGCTTTAAACGTTAAATTGACACCGTTACGATCATATACCAAAATTTGCCTAATTAAAATCTACAATTTGCTTAATTATTATATTAAAGCATATTTTACACGTATATTCTTTATAATCCATTTTCAAAATTTTCTTTACCTACATTTCTGTCTATCAGTTTCCGTGTTAAATTCCATGTTAAATATTAATAAAATTATATTTTTAGTTAATTTAAAAAATTTTTTTTCGTCACGTGAGGAGAGAGAAAAAAATATAGATAGGGCGTAATCGAGTTTTCGTTAAAGAAAATCAACTCTACTCAATTATTTCGAGTTTGCTAACAATAAAAAGACTTTGCAGAAAGTGTGCGACTTCTGACACGCCCTGCTGCACGTGGTATCTCTTTTGACATTTTATCTAGAAAAAATATTTACGATACTCCGGGGCGATACTTCGATATAGTATTAAAATACCAAAACTCTGTTTTCGACTTGATCAATACGAGTGTCACCAAAGTAATAGCCGATGGAAAGTACCGGAGCGATTAATATTGGCGATTAGTATTTCCCAGACAATAGAGTAATGGAGTCGATCAAATAATCGACGCGCGATCGGTAATAACGAATTGACGAATCAAACCAATTTTTGTGTAGAAAAAAAAAAGAAAAAGAAGAGTATAAACTTTCGAGTTTTCCAAACGCGTCGGCCGATAGGCGAACCTTCTTCGGCGAGAGTAAAAGCATATATCGAGGCGCTTCGGAATCGAGCCACGCTGCGGAAAACGCGATCCTAGGTGTGTCTCCACACCTGCGGAAAGAATCGGGCAAGGCATCTATAGGTATCGACAGTCGCGGTGTCCGATCCCGCGTTTAACGATATACCATCGATATACTCTCACACGAGACCGCACCGTGAACTCTCTCGGACAGCTACCACATAATTTCTTCCACATCGCGCGGAAGAAATTCTAAAGCTGGCAACACCGCGCTTACCCCAGCTACTGGCGGTCCTGCCCATGAACGCGCCGGTCTCGCGATTGTACAGAAAGGTCCTCATGGTCTGGCTGACCGACATGCTCGGCGGCTTTTCGTACGGATTCATCAGCTCCATCGCGACCATCGTCTTCGGGTCTTTGGTCACCACCATCGTGCGTCCCACCTGTTAACGAGGATTCCGCTTGATTTCACAAAACGCGCGCACCCGTCCGCCAATTCCCGCGAACACGCACACCGCGAGTTCCCCCGAGAAAATTCGAAACACTCCGCACTCCTCTGATGGAACTCTCGGCCAAGCCGAACTCTTCGATCGGCCGTACGCGCGCGATTCGTTCTTTTCTTTCCCTTCCCAACGCCGATTTGTACACGAATTGCTCCGCAATTCCAACTCCGCAGGTTACTCCAACTCGCCAGGCGTCGCCAACAGTTGTTTCTTCGGCGCCACCAGGTTGACTAAACGCGCCCAACCAAGCGCGCCGCGACCTTCCTCCTTCTCTTTCGTTTCCTCTTCCCCTCCTGTTTCTCTTCAAGCTGCCCCTCCTTGACCGCAGGTTCGGACCCAGCTCTCTGTCGGGCCTAGGTGCTGCTGAAGATACGCACGCGAGCCGTTTTGCCGTGAAAATCATAGCGGAACTTTTGAGCAAACACTCGCGTTGCTTGAAATTGTATCTCTTTTTTAAAGATACAATGGCTTGAGGAACGTCAAGTGGCAACTGGGCAGGAAATACATAAGGATTATAATGCATTGCGGTGTATACGTCTAAAACAAGCATTATAAGAATAATATTGAAGTTATACATCAGTTATGAAACATTCACTTTTTCAAAATGATTAAAATTATAGGTCGGTATTCATAGTCGGATCTTATATATTTAAGACCGTTTTAAGTACAATCTTAAGATGTTATGAACCAATCACAGAGCCGTATTAGCATCTTAAAACATTACTTAAAGACAGTCTTGAAATAAGATCCGACTATGAATACCGGTCATAGTTCTCGTAGTTAAACAACGGATATTATTTGAATTACCGCGTTTTTAAAACTAAGAAAGATTTTTTGAACAAATTCGGAATTATATCCTATTATTAAATTTATAGTATCGTCGTTCGATTTTAAATAATTTCTTTATCTTGAAATTTCGAAAATAGTAAGTTTGAACAAATTTTTTTATAGTAGATATATCTATAGTTATTCCTTCAAGCCTACAGTATCTCGAATAATATTTTTCTATTTTCAAAGGGGTAACGAAGATGTATAAATGTGTTTTTTGCTAAATGTATATATGCAATTATAGAAAAAACTCAATATATTAATTATTAATTAATTTATATAATTTATATATAACTCAATATTAATTAATTTATATATAACTTATTTTAAATTTGTATTGCATTAAATTTGTAAAGGCAATAATGCTGCGCGAACGACGGATATTCCCTTTTTAAAACTGTCAATGAGCTTTCGAACAATGATCTTTTCGATTATTCAACACCTTGCGTTAATCGACACATGGGCAATCGATGTTTCAATCACGTTTGAAAGCGACAAAATTGTTCGTTTCCCACAAATCCTAAGCACACCCTGTGCGGATACACCATAACGTAATGTGCTGTTCCTTTTATGACGTGGCAGGTCGCAGCTGCAGGTGCGTACATGTTTTGTCAATGATGGTACGTTGACATTGTGTACGGTAATACACACGTATTATAATCAGTGATGTATTTCTCTTTCGCAGTACCCTCGGTTTCCAGCGCGCGATTAAAATTGCACATTCAACGGTATTTCCATGCACGCATTGCATAAAAAGTGTTTATTGCAGATTTCACAGTTTAATAAACAAACATTATATATATATATAATTTATTTCAACATTGAGAAACACTTGACATTGAATATTGTAATATGTGATTTAATAATTATTTATCTATTGAATATTATAATATTTATTAAATGCATAGTAATTTATTTCTATTATATGTTTACAATATATTACTGAAATAAATTATTGCTGCTGCAAAGTACTTTTTACTTACATTATAAAATAAACTTATAATAAAGGATAACAATCAGGAAATTGCTAAAATAATTAAATAACTGTTATTTCGTAATAAGTGGACGGAATGAAATAAATTAAATATTATACTGTAGAAAAAAATCCATCATTTTTATTAGAGCGTGGTGAAAAAATATACACACTTAATATAAACTTGTAAAATAAATACTAAATAAAGAACAAATTATTTACACATTGCACAAAATAACAGCTATTTAACATTATTACCTTCCCGATTGTCACTCTGTGTATGTTATATTTTAGTAAAACATAACTAAAATAAATCTAGAGTGAGCTAAAAACAGAGGTATGTGACAAACCTTTTTGTCATCGTTTCTTGATTATATATATATATATATATATGTTCGATATATCGAAGATAGTCGATTATAATAGATGATATTATTAATCTTTCACCAACTTTATATTTTCCCTAATATTTCTGTCTCGAAATATGGCACATTTTTATGAAATTTGGATATGCATGAATAACACAGTTTGTAAAAAAAAAACATATATAGTATATGTAACAAAATTTGACTAAAGCCAATCGAATTTTGCTGAACCCGGTTCATTATCTCAACGCACGCGTCAAATAACAAAATTTTTAATTTCAACGCATTGCAAAGCGTTATATAGCGCACATGAAAAAAGAGCATATTAAATTGGTAGAAATGCATGGAGACATTCGCATTGAACTTATTAGGTTTATTACTACAAGTAGTTTAAAGTTTTGCTAATTGTGAAATATAGTTGTAGCTAGTAATTTGTTGAAATAACCATTTATTTGGGAATGGTGACTATTGTTATTTCTTATGTTAGGGCTGCCTATTAATTATATTTATCTCCCTGAACAGTATAAAACATTCTACATTCTTTACTTTTCTTTAGAATCATCCCCAAGTATTTTCATTATTCTTATTAATATTATGTCAATTTCTTTCTTTAATTAAAATTTTAATAATTTATTTAGATAATATCATTGATATTTCATGCTTTTTGCTTTCTTATCTATCTTAATTCTATTTTCTGTAGTAAAATAAAATATAGGATCAGTATTGGAACGATTTAGCATCTCCGTGCATCTTGTTAATGATATCTGCCCCAATTTAATTTCTCGCGGCAGTTCACCTATCCGTCGCGATTAAAAAAGCTACGAATACGATTTCCTCAACTGAATCGTCGGGCAAATTGGGGGCTAAGGTCAGCTCACGTGTATGTGACCTTAGTAGTCGCGATGGCACGCGTGTGCGCGGCTCGCAGCGACTGTTCGATTAGTGTGGTCCACTCCACTCCCTTTATCACACCGGGACGAGCTAGGCGCGTGTAATGTGAGTCACACACGGAGACCGATCTGAATTGACCACATCCTGCCCATTTCGTCATGTGACATTAATGTCATTGCCGTCCTGACGGAGAATTTCGAGCGAAATAGAAGAATCAGCGTCGCGCTCTTAAGTATCCCGACCTCGCATGAAAGCGACTTGCTTCCGCGAAATCTGAGCTCATGCATATTTGTTAATTTTTATAGTACGCTATAAGTGCGCTAAGGTAATTTATTATCTCACGAGCAGTAAAGTGCGATTTTCTTAGATGGCAAAATTTCCATTACAATTGTAGAAGATCTCGTAATTTAATATTATAAATTAAAATAATATTAAATTAATTTTTAAGTGTAATATTAAATATTAAATGCTTGTAAAGCAATATATATTAATATGTTTTTACTTATTTATTGCAATGTATATTAAATTAAATTAAATTAAAATCTTGCCTTTTTGGAAATGAGATATGATCTTTCTTTTCTGCTGTTACGTAATGAAATAGATTCAAACAATTCTGTAGATCTGATTTATTTTCCATAACATATTTCAAGTATAATGACACTACCAACAATTATGCCTAATCGTATGCCTTATTAGCCAATTGTGTTTAAATCTTCCGCCGTCTACAATAACGTCTGTATTTTGAAAAGAATGTTTACGCAAAACAGGTGTCAAAATGCGATTGTTATCCTGGTAACTTGAGATGTAAAGTAAAATAGAATCTAACTTTTGAGAAGCTCTCCTGTAAAATCATATATTTTTGGCTTTTATGTATCTTTATCTTGGGAAATACCGAATTAATTTTTATAATTATGTTTTTTTACTTCTACAGAAAATAAATGGATTATAATTTGATCATCCAGTTTTAAAAAATTGTAATTTTATCGAACGTTACAAGTGATCAAAACTGCAAACAAAAACTTTTCAAACCGTAATTCAAATTTATAGACAGCTTATTTAGCATCCATCAAAACGTAGCCAATTATAGGTATGAGAAGAAGAATAAAAGTAGATAATTCGATGCAAACATAAAAATGATGAGAACACCAAGGAAAATATAAAGATAAACAGTTTTGCTCTATAATTTTGCAACTGCACTCTACCCCTTAAATTATCGCTTATGCTTATTATTATAAGGTTAATTTGTGACAGGATACATTTAACCAAACTGATAAAGAAACTAATAATGACACAGGTAGCATTATAATCACATGACGCCCAATAACAACTTGTTAAAGATTTATCAATCATCGATGATGATAGTAATTATATAGTAAATCTAGATATGTCTAGATTATACAATTATTTTAATCAACAACAACAAGTTCATATCGTAGAATGCCTTAATAACGCTACAATCTGCTTTAAAGTGTACGTGGATTACTTTAGCTATATAACGAAATAATAATCTTTTAATATTTAGTACAACTGCGTATGGAATCTCATGGATTTGCTATATCCTCAACAAATTAGCAGAGAAATTATCCTCATCTAAGCATATGACATACTTTAGTATCTCATAGATGTTTGTTTTTTAAGATTTCTTTTTTAAAATTTTAGCGTGTGCAATATTTCAATGAATGTTTTGAATATATGAATCCTCGTATATGAATAGTTGCAAAAAGCAAATACAATATGTTAGAAAGTAAAGTAATTAAACACAGGTGACTAAAATAATCTCTTAGCAATCTATAAAATTATCCTCAACGAAATGATCTTTATGTGCAATTATTTCTTGAACACAATTAAATCTTTTGCTTTATTGATAATATGATCACAAAGATTATTATAAATTATTTATTCAATGTTTAATAATTAAATTACTGATAAATATTGATAAATTATTACCTTATATCATATCAGCAATATCTAATTCAATGAACGTTTAATTGTATATATGTATGTATATATGTCAATTGACATTTATAATACATAAAATTGTTGGTTCTTAATTTATGATCGTGTGAAATTTTTTTGTGTTGATTATTTATTGTATTGATATATAATATCGATATATTCCATATCATGCAGTGAGTAAAAATAATATTTACTCCATATTATTTGGAATAATTTTATACAAAGCAGAAAAATATCATTGCAATGTCTATTAGAATACATTGTTTTTATTTGTACTAATACATTGAACAAAGCACATTGTAGCAATATGTGTTTCTTTTTTTCGAAAAATTATCCCAAAAGAAATGGGTTGTACAAATATTTTTTTACTCATTACATACAATATATAACAGAGAGTGCAATTACATTCTTAATTTACACTTCAATATTATTATTTCTAGAAAAAAATCGATCAAACAAAATTGCATTATTTCAAGGAGAACATGCATGAATTCTCATTTTAAAAAACGATATTTTTAAATCTTGGAATGGTTTTTATCTAGAAAGATCTCTTTTAACTCAATTTATATCTCTTGAGACTGTGTATCTTTTGTTTGATTTTTCTCTGAAGATTACAATATTAACGTAAATTAAGATAATAATTTTAGTGCACCATACTGTATATATAGGTATGTATTCAGAACGAGAATGGACCAAATCCATAGCGGCATAGCTTATAAAATACGAAATCGTATTCTAATAAAATAAACTTTACATTTCACAGCTTCACTAATTGTAAGAAACATGTAATGTGAATAACGTTATACATCTTTGTATGCAATGTTTATCACGTAATCACATAAACAAGCGTTACTCAATATGTACGTATATAACATAAAACGCTGCTTAAACACTGTTTATACTACACACGTCTTATCAATAATTCAACAACAAACGCGGTATCTAACAAGAACGCATATATCATATCGATCTTTTTTGAACGTATTTGTTAATGGTTTCTAATTAAATATCCTGTTAATAAGTGATGCGTTCCTCTGCTGCGTATAAAGCGCTATTGCTCGAATATTAAAATTGTTAGCTTCAATCACAACATGGATGTACATACACATATGTACCTATAATGTATATACTCTCTAAATCCTGAATCAGTGAATAGTCACTGATTCGCAGTACTATTCATTGATTCAGATTTAGAGAGTATGATATATGTAAATACGGATATCGTATTAGCGTATTGGGTATATACGTAATGGATTGCATTACAAGTTTCTTCTTGATTTTTGTAATTTTATCTCGTTTTTGCAATTTTTTCAAAACATTTTTTCTACATTTGCGCTCGAATGATAAACGTTAATTTGTAAATCGCGTTCCATACGATTTGGAAAGCGAAATGGTCATGCAGAACATACACACGCACGCACGCACAGATGATGTCTTACAATTAATCAAATCGCAAAGAAAGAAGTCTTTCAGTCTCGGTTTCGGTCATCTTGAAAAAGCAAACATCGATCCGAGTAGTTGACTAAGTTTAAACACAATCAGCTTGAACTCGATGCGTACACGTATCATTAAAGGCTGTTTTTCTTATTTTTGTTTTTTCTTTTTTTTACTTATATATCAAATTTTTCTTACTCTCTTTTTCTCTTTTTCCTCTTTTCATCTTCTCCTTTCTCTTACGCACACGATTAGTGTGAATTTTATATTTCAACAATTCAAAACCGCAATAATGAATAGTAATATATAGCCATCCTCGTGTAGCATTTATTAGCATATTTTTCGATATATATGTATATAAAATTTGACATTTTATGTTGTCCTTTCTTCTTTCTCTTTCGTTTTTTTTTCCTCTTCCCCTTTTATGTCTTTTACCGCGTAATGTTTTTCAAATTTTAGAATGCCCATGCAAGATTATTTAAAAATCTGTGCATCTATCTTTGAATGCAAGGATCCGTCTTTCAAGAGTCTATTCCAGGATTTACTAATTTATCAATTTTATGAGTTCAAAGATTTAAGATACGTAAATCCAAAAATCCGTATAATGTTAGTGCCTCGTAAATTGCAGTAGCCTTTTACAAACTATTGTTTATTGATTTGAGACTACCTCGAAACATTTCTGCGCATGGTCGGACATGAATTCCGGATGTCTGGTGCGCATGCGCGAGAGTATAACTTCGGGTTAAAGATTCGTGTTGCTGGTGAGCGCGTCGTTTGAAAATAGGAGAGAAAAGGGAACGAAATATAATATTAAGAAAATAGGCGTCTCCATTTTATTTATTATTTCCCTATATTACTGCCAACCGATTATAGATTATAATTAGACCACGGATGTGTTTGTTCAGACGTCGATGGATAGCCGCAGGCATAAGTATATGCTCGTAAACGGAAAATATTGATAGCGCGCAGGGGAGAAAAAAAAGTGTCATCTGGCACAGCGGCTTTTGTCGAAAGCTCGAGCTTGCCGCGATCGAGTTAACCCGCGATCTAATTACAATTTCTTCTAAAGCTTTAGTTTCACCAAACTTTAGGCACGCGATACGCATAGGAATTAATAGATTGTGTTACAATAATTACTATAATCACTGTAGTAACATCCTTCTTGTGTAGTTCGAAAAATGTCGTGTAATAGACAACTTTAAGACGTTATAAACGAGACGTATTTTTCAGAAAGTCGCACAGGATATTTTATCGACATATTTTAAACGTTTTTTTTTTTGGGGAAAAAAAATCTTAAAGATGTCTACAAAAGGACGTCTTACAGACACCTTTTTAGATGCTTGCATTATTTGAATAATGTTAGGAAATTTATATCTCAAGATACATGGTTGATTTAATCCTGATTTAACAAACAGGCGCTTAACGACTATCGTGAATAAGATATATTAATCAAGAACTTATGAATAACAATAGGTTCAAGGAATTATGAAGAAATGATTGTGAATCTCTAAAATATATGTAGATGAACTGTGCACGTGTGTGGATCGATGGATCTGTGAATCTGTAGATCCATGGATCTATTTATCTTTCAATCTACGATGCTATACACATTTCGTAAAAGCGAGGGTCTATATGATGCTAAATGTGATCGGTGAATCTATGGATTAACAGATTTACGGATTTTAAGATCTATATATATTTTTTTTTTGTATAACCGATACTTATCTACTGCAATACATATTATTCGCACAGTATAATTAACCTAATGAAAACTACATAAAATACTTGTACATAAAATTTGATACATCGTTTTCCTCAGGTTGAAGTCCCATTAGGAGATACTCGTATCGATGATCCGACGTTCGTTTCTCAATACGAAATTACCATCATTTAGAATGTATTTTCCTTCAAAATGTATTTTCTTTTGTTCAAACGTAATGTTTGCATCAATGCAGAAAAAAGAACAGTTCGGCCAATTTCTCCTCTCTTCAACCACAGAACTTAACAACTTGTGTAGGATACAGGTTTACGTGAACTAATATTAAATATTATATGATACAATATATATATATATATGTATATAAATAATACGCATTCCACTGTCGAAATGTCGCGCCGCATAGTTTTGACAAAATCAATAAAAATCTTTGCGTGCAATGTAACGCTTTACGTTGATCGCGACTAAACGCCTATTTGTGATATATCGACAGTTCGGTTTAAGATCAATGATGCCTTTGACTTAAGTACATCCAGAAATCAATCATTATTGGAATTAAGTACCTATGGAGGGCTACCACGATCAGTATTACTATTAATGCATCAACAATTTTAATGCTTTAGCTATCGATATATTATATATTATTAATATAACATATTTATATTATTAGTATACGATCAATGTACATTTTTCGTACTATCACTATTAAAAATGTAGTAATTACTGATCGCGAGTGCTCTTTGAAAATTGTTCTTTAAGTATAGACTTTTAAATTCCCTTCCAGTAATTTTATTAGCAGTTTTCGCGAAATCTTATTCAGTAAGTACCTAAACGCGCATGAGAGTTCCTTTTGTATTATTACAATGTATCTTGTCAGTGCCGACCTGATAGTGTTGCAATGCCTCTTCTACATGCTTAACAACTAAAATATTTCTCAAATCGCAAATTAAATATTAATTCGCAAAATCAATAGATCCTTGGACTTACAGATTATTGTATTTGCAAATTTTCGTATTCGTAAATTTTTTTTTTTTTTAATTTGAATTCTTAGGTCCACGCACAGATCTTTAAATCTGTAGATTCTTGTTGATTCTTGCTGTTGATTTATAGATTCCTGAGTATATAGATTTTTGCCCTCATATATCCTCAGATAAGAAGATTCTTGGGCCCATAGAGTCTTAGATGTACAGATCGTTGATATCACATAAATCTTTGAATTCATAAATTCTTTAAGTTTATATATCATGATCTGCATTTCTATATTTCATGCATCTTACCGTTTTATTTTTATTTTCATATATCTTTATATCACGCACGCACACAAACTCGGATCTACAAAGTCTTGGAACTTTCACGCCGCAATATCCGTTTTAAACGCACATGTTTATAATCGCATCTAAATTTTATAATTCGTAATTGAATTCAATAGATTCACAAATTTGCAGTCAATATAGAATTAAAATGTTTTCTAAAGATTGAGACAATTTTCTCTAATTCAAAATTTCATATCCCGTAGATCTTTGTTTGCAATTTTTTTTCTATCAAAATCTCTTTCGAGATTGTTGGACTCGTAGGTTCAATAAATTAATAACACACAATTAACAACTGCAACGTTTAACATCGACATGTCAAACATGTGAGTAAATTCTTAAGTGCAGAGTTTATTAATTAAAATCACTGTCACATCTAATTCTCTTTGTTTTTACCACATACCACTCGTAAATTAAAATAAGTTCTTTTGATGATCCAAGACTTCAAAAAAACTTGGGAATCCAAATCCGTAAATCCGAGCATTTATGAGCTCAAAAATCAGTAGATTCAACAATCTGCGAATCCGAGTGTCTCTGCATGCAAGAATCCATAGATTCTAGTATTTTTACCGCATGAAAAATGCATTATATAGAATCATAGATCATCATACACATTCAACATATTATTGGGTGGCAATGACTATCGATTGCCTCTTTAATATCCGTATCTTTGCTTATATTCTTTCGCCATGCTCCATAGCAGATTTCAATATAATAACACTTAATTTTAACTCTCAATTGAAAATATCCAGAACAAAGGAATACAAGTAACAATTATCAATATACAAGACAAACATAACTATACGAATAACAATATCAATACGAATAGCATTCGATAGTTTTTGTAGCCATATAAATAGAATTGCGAGCTGTGTTGTTATGTGACATGCGTCACATTGCAAACGTAACACATCGAGACGATTTTACTAACGCGTTGTTTACCAAAATCGAAAACCTGATGATTTAAATGTTAATACGTGAAGATGAGATATTTCAAAAACAAAAATCTTTAACAAATTTTTGTTTTATTTTTATAAAGATTTTCACTACATCTCATAAATACCAAGAGTTTTGGAAAAATTTTGGACTTAGCAATCCCGTACATAACGTTTAACTTTACTCAACATTTCGATAGATGACAGTTTTGCGTTGCTTGCGGTTAATTTTTTTTTTTTTAACACTATTAACATCACTCAAAGTTTCCAATAACGTTACAAGCAACGTTTACCATTGTTATTTGATAGCGATTAGTCCAACTGAGCTTAACGCGTACTTGTATCCCTTTGTGCCTGCTGTCTTTTATTAAAATTCACCGAGTACCACTTCTCTTACCAATGCCCAAAAATTTCAACGTACCGACATGCCAAGATATAACGCGCGATGGGCAAAAATACACTAATGTAATATATATCTACATGGCTGAACTAAGATTATCGATCATCCGCGATACCATGACAACTTATCGGCCAGAGCTCGTCTCTGTGAAAAGAAACGCGACGAAAAGCTCAAGAGAATCTAACTGAAACGGTCGGTGGGCTCTTAACTAAAGGAGAATCTCTCTCTCTCTCTCTTTCTCTCTCTTTCTCTTTCTCTCTCTCTTTCTCTCTCTCGCGCGCGCGCGCGCGCGAATTAAGTTTTGCGAACGATCGACTAGCCGTCGATGGTCGAGATCACTCCCCGTAACACAACCCTGGCAGAAATAAGAGAAGATACCGCCCGGCTTTTGTGCGGGATTGTTCATTTCACCTTTCTTCATTCCCATTTAGTTTTGTGCATCTCGATTGTAGTTGATTGCTCCGTTGAGCTCATTTTCTCGTTTGTTTTGCCCTTTTGTTCATTTTCTCTCTTCTCTTTCTCTCTATCTCCCTTTCTCTCCATCCCCTTTCTCTCTCCTTTCCCCGTCTTCCTTCTTTCTGTTTCTTCCTCTTGGCGATTGACATGATCGATGGATAACGCTGTTACAATCGTTGTAAGTACGACGAAGACGATGAGCTGATGAAATGATGACAGTGAGAAGAAGTAAGGCTAATCCGGAGCGGTATCGTCGGGCAGAGAGAAAACCGGATGGTACAGGGTGTGATCGCGGTCGGCCAACGAGGCAGGTTAAAAAAAGAAATGTCTTCTTTCTGTTCTATTCTCTTGCGGCTTCCTACTTGGACGCGGTTAGTAGCGATTATGATCTGGCGAATGATCGAAATGGCCGGGCTTAGTCTACCATTAGTTCGAAGTGCACCGAGCCACGTCTTTCAAATCTATCATGAAAGATGTTGTGCGCCCATGCCTTGCACTCGATATTGATGAGCACGCCGTCTGTAACAAACACCGATAAATGTTAATTATTTCGTTGGTATATGTTGATCTTAACGATCTGTCGGATCCGTAGACTTGATTGGATTGACTTTGGATCGATAACTCTTTGAAATCGTTGAATTTAAAAATTTATCTAACTTTTAGACATTTAGATTAATTCCTAGATCTTTAGATGTCTAAAAATAAAAATAGATGTCTAGTGAGAAGTTGTCTCCCAATTCAATTTCGAACATATTGTTAACATTGAAGACAAAATTAAATGTATACGTACACTTGGGCTTTTCGAAGAACACAGCTACAAGAGGGCTCAAATATCCTTGAGTGTTCTTGAATGGGAAATAGAAGCCAGGAAAACCACGACGTGGTATGTACTGAATCGCACCCATGTTCTCCACATCGGCAGGGTTTTCACCAGCGCAAGACACCCAGACAGTGTCCAGTCTATTGTGTCTTTCTTCTTGCATGATATGCTCCTTGAGATCCGCTGGCATGTTGGCCGGCAAATTTTTGGTATCATTATAAAATTTCGGTTCCCATCCAAAAATCTGAAACAATTAAGTTTAAGGTATAATTTTATTTAATCGACATCTTTACTAGGGATAATGTGTGTGTGTGTGTGTACAGTCGTTTTGGTCGCTTTTTAAATTCGAGAAATACTAAATCTGTCTTTAAGAAACAGTAAAAGATAATCTTTGAAATTCTTAAAAATTTGTTGTGATTTTTAGTCTGGATATCTAGAAAAATCCAAGAACAAAAAAATTTTCAAATTAAATAATTTAAATACTTTCTTAATCAGTTATTTTGCTTACTGGATCATAAAAGAGAAAATGCTTGGAAAAAAATTAAAAACTAGAAATTTATTATTCGATTTTCTTTTTCATCTTGTATAAACGCAGTTTCGATTTAAAGGGGTGCATAAAATTTTCATGAAAGTTTAGTAGATCACATAAAAATTATATACAAACCTTATTCAGTTTTAAGAAGATACAAGGCGCGGATCTGCTGAAGCCGTATTTGTTATCTTTTGTGCATTGTCCCCAAGTGGCCATGTTTACATCGCAGACTTTGCCTGGTGGTGCTGGCTTACCGTAATCACATATCACTCTCTCGTAGCTGTTCGTACCACCCGGCGGCCTTTGATATTCTGCATAGAAATTACATCTTGAAAACTGAATATTAATTCCGTGCCGGTTAGTTAACAAATTTAATTCAACATGAACAATGTTTCTTCAAAATAAATAGAGTAATTAATTTAGTTTCATTATTCGCTTTCACATTAAAAAGTGTGCTTCATTCAAGTGTCTGTGTCTTACCTTCCAAGAATCTGTCCAACTCCCTGGTCCAGTGTAGATAATTACCCTCGTCGCTAGCCTTGTACCAAATCAAAGTACTTTCGACGTTGCGTTCGGGAGGCATAGGCCTAAAACCGAGACCCGGATTGCTGCCGATCAGCGAATTATCCAGCTGCCACTTCGGCGCGTTCGGATCCAACGTCTGATAGAACACAGCGAGCATCGCACCGAAGAAGCCGGACAGGACGGCATAGAAAATTACGTAGAACAGCAAAATTTTAGCTGAAAATATATTTGCGTATATAAGACAAAATATCATTGAATTTTAATGCGAGAAAAGAAATTATTTCTTAAACTTCGATATGGAAAGAACGAATACATTCTTTTAGTCTAAAATATAATTTTAATGATTGCTTATTAATGCTACTTTATATCAATCTATTTACTTATTTACTAATTACTTATTTATTTTATTAACAAATAAAATGTATTCAAAAATAAAAAACAAAAACATTCACATTTTGTGATATTATATTTTTACTGAATAAAAGCTACTTATTTGTAGAATTATATAAGTACATACAATTTAATTTTGATGATCAAAATAATATATATTTATATATATGCAAGGATTATTTATTAATTTATTCCACAATAAATTATTCATTAGAAAATTAACGATACGTAACTTTAACAATATATAATTTATTCTAAACACGACAAGTATATCACAAATATATCACAATGCGTTAAATGGTACGTATTATTTATCTATGGTACAAAGTGCTATTTTTCTAAGAGTAGTACAACTCCTATAATATTAAAGAGTAATGTAACTACTTCTATTGAAAGCTAGAACAACAATTTTACATACACTTTCCGTTTAAGAATATTTTTATTTCTGTTTATACATTATAAATACTTGTGTAAGTAACATTTGCGCTTTAAATTCAATTAAACGTTGCAATATGTTGCATCAAGCCAATAGACGCTCGCATTACCGATTATTTCTTGTGCATCATATGAAAAAAGTATCTCAAGGCTAATTCTATGAAATCGATCGAAATTGCTCGAAACACGAAAGTTACTTTATTACATAATCGCAAGTCAAACTTACCACTAGCTCTTTTGAAACACGCGATCTATTATAAGTTATTTTATCGACCAAGTTCTTTCTCGTTATCGTATCAATTATTTCAACTTGTGTCAAAACAATTTTCCGTACTTCTTCAAATAACGCGAGCAAAAAGTTCCAGAACATCTTTTTCATTTTAAATCTTAAAATATTTGTTAAAAATGCGATTGTAATATTACTGCTTAACGAATTTTTAATTTACAATTTACATAGCTAATATTTCATCGATACGATCAATGAAAAATCAAAATAGACACATTGTCTGATTTAGGATTAAAATATCGAAACTAATATAAAATATTTACGAGCGTAATCTCTATTGTTGCTATCGTTTGCTGGTCGAAGGCTGGAGCATCGTGACAATTATGATCCGGCGTCTAATTGGCCTGAATTGGTATTGGGTAAGCGATGCTATGTGTTTGTTATACAAATCATTGACGAACATATTCTTACGCACGCAAAGCGACATTACTTCCAAGAGAATGCGTTCTCCAAACAGATATCAATTGCATCTTTACAATTATTATAAATTTACTTTTTTTTAGAAATAAAAAATTAATGTTTTAATATATTTATTTATATGATTTATAAATCCTTAAGACTTTAAAAAGAATGGACGTAGATTTTTATTTAATTGACATAGCCAGGTCTCCTTATTTCGTCTATTTTCTATAAATAAAACTTTATAAAACGCGACGATACTGTTTGTTCATAAAAGAATTAAGTACAAATAACAGAGACATTATTAGAAAAAAACAGATCTTCTTTATGGATGAAAACTTTCCGTTTAATTCTGTCACTAGTTGTCTCTTTGTGAACGATAACATGATGCATTCGCTTAATCGTATAAAGCCTGCGTTCGATCATAATCGCATCATAATCGCATAATCGTTAGACGCTAATGTGTTCATACCGTAATTAAATGTCACGGATAATTACAAATCAAAATAATCACAAACGTATGTTCGCAGACGTTTGTGACGTTCCACTTCTCTCGTTTAATTATATCAACTAAAAATAATTATACTGATAAATAAATATTTTCAGATAAAAAATATAATAACTGAGAGACGCGATTCCAGAAGTACAGTTAGAAGTTACAGTTACATTTATTTCTCGTAAAAAATTTTGTGAGTTATTCTTTGTAATGTAATTACTCCTTTAAAAAGATATATATATTTAGTAATAATCTAATATTATGTAAGAAATATAATACTATAGATACGTATAATATATAATATTTAATTTTTAGTAACTAATTATAGCAGATTTTATTACATAAATGGAAAATTTTAGTATTTTAAGATAAATTGAATATTGCTGTCGAGTCTCCCAGAAAGCAATTTGTCTAATTTTTTTTATTGTCTAATTTTAACATCAAGACTCTAAAAATAATATAGTAATTAACTCTTTATCAATGGCTCGCTCTTAATGTCAAAATGGCTGCACGAAGTCGCTACGGTAACGTAACATTTCTATGACTTTTCTCGACGAGATATCGATCGACACGGTGCAGAATGCAACGACACTGAATGCCGACAATTTCTTTCGTCAAATAGGCCATTAGTATTCTGACGCGATAATATAATGGGCATAACTGCTAATTATCTCTTCGCTAATTTTTTATATATCACAAACCTCATACTACTTTGTAAAAAGCTTTATTCAGCTTTGTTCATTTGCCGAAAGATCTGCAGGATCGAACTTGAAATGTAGGACATTTAGCTGGAAAAATCGGCTGCGTTAGTAGCGCGCAGACGCTGACACTATCCAGTATAGAAATCAGACCATACCATTTCTGTGAGATGGTAACGGAGACGGCTCGTATTGATTTTGGCGGAAGTCGATCGACCTCAACGGTAGAGCGAAGGGGCATAGATAAAAAGTGATAAAACAGGCACGGAAAAGAGAGAGAAAGATAAAGATAAAAGTGATAAAAGTGAAGAGAAGAGGAGAAGACGATGTGATAAACGTACGGGCTAGAGTTATGTGGAAAAAAAAATTATAGAAAGAATTTAAAATTTTATTATACATAAAATATGAATGAAATATCGTAATAAATGAAAGGAATCGAAGAATTTAAAAGAGCAAATCCACAATCGCGATGTGCGTTTTTAACCGTACAGTAAAATATCGCGGTAAAGTTATTTAAAAAGCTACCCTATTGAAAACTTATGACATCTCTCACTCGTGCATTTCCTCCTGCTGCTATCTCAAGCGGTAGAATGTAAAAATAGAACGACGGAAGTCTGTGCAGCGAGGTCGCACCCCTCCGATATACGGATGTAGGTAACCGCAAACTTTGATTCTCTGTTGGAACTAAAGTAGCAAATAATGGCAGTGATAAGTCGTGCAAAGAAGAGGTTTTACATACAGACTTTTATATTGTAATGTATAAGTAAATATATTACAATTATCTCTCTCAATAATTAAAAACAAAATGAAAATTGCAATTGAAATAATATATAGAGAAAGTTCTATCGATCCTAACGTACATATAGTGTGCTCACTCAAATAATAAATTATTTTACATTATTCATACGCGCGTTTATAGGTTTATAATAATTTTTTACAGTTAAAATTCAGCTTTGTGTTTCAGTTAAAAAGACAAATTATTTTATAGAAAAATGAGAGAAACAAGATATTTTGTTAGCGATATAAAATTTTTTAAAAGATGGTTATATAAGGAGTCAATTAAAAGTTAAACAATTATTGCGTATAAATTTCTCATTAATGAAAAGATGTAAAAACCAACGCTTAATGCCAGTTTATCAAAACAGGATATGCGCAACAGTATAAGTATAGACCAAGAAATATCCATACTAAGCCAGCACTCTGCTTACGTTCAACGCACTTTGTTAACGCACGTGGAAATCGCCACCTTACGTTTATTACAAGATATTTTCAATTTTAACTGCCTATATGAACGAATGAAAACATCTCAGACAGTATTGGGACCATCGTCAGACCGATTAATATATTGGCACAATGACCAGCCTAAAGATAGTTTCAATATAAGCTAAAATGTACTTGCCTACATAAGTTATTCGAAAGGAAAATACCAAGATATCAAGAGATTCATGTGCTCGATCACTATTCTGTCTTCGTCTCGCGTTGGGGTAGCTTTAGTTTAGTTGCGTAAGCATCTAACATTTGTAATACATCTAACACTTAGAAAATTTCCAATACAAATCCAATTTGATGCAATTAATTGTGATTAATTTAAAAAAATATATTTTGTGTTCTCTCTATAGTTCCCTCAAACTTAATTCCTCCGAAATCCTTTAATTTTCAAGATCAAGTACTACATATTAGTTTCTAGTAGATCACAATTTAATTTGAATAAATGCGTAATCATCGTTTACATGTGATTAAAAGATTAGATATCAATTTTTTCTCTTGTTACCCTGGAAGGTGCGTATTATTTATTTTTGCACTTTTTCTGATTCAATATATACTTCACGATCGGTAAGTAGTGAAGTGCACATGCATGCGAAACCTTACGCCGCGTACAACACTTCCGATGGAGGAAACTATATGTCTTACGTAACTTGTAGCTGGCCGTTGGATAAATTTTGCCTCTATAAATAGTCATTTTGTGCACTAGCATGATGTTATGACTAATACCATTTAAAGTTGCAAATTAACTAGCGTCTTTTTTTACAAACTCACAAGCACGGAGATTAAGTTATGTAACAGCATAATTCCAAATATGTAAATTTGTATACGTAAACTGAATTACTGCAATATTCTTAAAAGATAAATCACTGACAATCGTTCTCAGAAAAAGCAAAACTTTCAAACAACTCGCGAAGAATAAAAATCTCATGTCAATTTTCACCGATCGTGAATAAAAATAACACTGATTACGGTAAACCTCGTTGGTTGAAAATTGCTACTTATAGAATATTTTCTAAACTTATTAAACCATTTATTCTAAACTTTTAGTAAATTTAAAAAATTTTTTAACATTATTACAAGATAGATTTAATATCTAAAATTAAATTTATCAATTTGAGTGCCAATTTAGGCCGAGAAAAAATTTCAATTTAAATTATAATAACTAAATGTGCTTGATAATCACAAATTCAAAATTTTTAATTGTTCTGTATATTATTGTTTATGCCTATAAGAATAAATTATTACAATAAACGTTGAGAATGTCGCGACAAAATTTTCCGATCTAGGAAATGTCACAATGGTATAACTATATCTTTTATGTATTATTACGTAATGAGCCTTCGTCATATATAACCTTCGACCACCCGTATCTTTTGAAACCTTTATCTTATCTTTCGAAGGGAATGTTAGTTAAAAATACCATTCCACTAATTTTTCAAATAAAAATGAAATATAATACGGTAAAAAGATACACTGTAGGTATATTTAATGATTATTGATTTAACAAAAGTGCTACTCCCGTAAATACACGTTTCTCCAATCTCTAATATATCACGGATAATTTGTTTAACTCCTGAATTTTTACAAAATTATACAAGCGACATAACTTACTTCGTATTTTACATAACTTCAATAACAATCTAACTATTGCAATGGAGATCAGTTTCGTCGGCAAAGTTATGTAAGTATTAAATCATTGATATACCAATTTATTCAAGTAATTCCAGCTCCTCATATTCTTCTTCTTGTTAACGCACATCTCCGAATAGCTTCGCCTTCATTGTGTCGTTGTAGCGTTGAATAAATATCGGAGTGACAGATTTAACTGACAGTAAATATTTTTATAGACCGTTATATTCAGATTGGCCGTGTCGTATATTTTAATCGATAAATGTTACAGTGGATAATGTAAGTAGCTGTACATTGCTCCAAAAAAAATATCCTATAAAAGACAATTTCAAACCATCTCTGCAGAAAGTCTCGAAGAGTCTTTATGACGTTTTTTTTTTTCTTAGATACACATGTTAATCTCCCTCCAATTTTGCACGCTTGCTCGTTAATCTTGACATAGGTCAAACGAAATGTGATGAAAGTAATCCGGATCGGACCAAAAAAAACGGAAAATTACGTAACAGTATTAACGAATATTAATAATGTAATTTATTTAACAATTCCCCACAAATGTCTGGTTTTAACACTGCAAATAAATTATTTCGAATGTCTTGTAAAACATATTCAATATATTTCTAGAAGAGTCCAAAAATGTAGTGCTAGGCTAAAGCGTGTTGAAGTAATTTTAGTAATTTTGCTTGTACATACATTCTACATAATTGGGTCAGTACTAACTACCAGGATGCCTATGACTTTCTCGCTTAACTTGACGCGCAAAGTAAACGAAATGATATGACATAAATATAAATACGATGTAAGTATGGAAATATAAAGTTGAATAGAGTAACGGTTTTTTTTTTATATATAGACGATATGCTATCCAACCTACGTTCACACTCGGATTGGTCGAACCACCGGTTAGGCTACTTTTAATATCTAAAGGTATTCCTCTACGATCGAGCCGTTAGAGACGCTACAACGACGTAACCAAAGTGCAAAGGATTAACTCTGCAAAGGATTAACGCCTAACACGATTGTCAAATAACGTACTACTACATCTATATCTACACTTGCGTCAAACTATACAAAAATTACACACTACGTGACTTGAACCAAGGCAACACCAGGACATCTTAATTCTTCTAATTAATCAAACTTAATATCGGATAATATCGGAGGAGTCAGCGGTTTATCTCCCGGAAAATAATCTTGCGCACAGAGGGGCGGGTCGAGAGACGCAAGGACTCAACGGGAGAAGCTGATGTTCGCGAGTGTCGCTATACTAAAAATATATACTCTGTCGCTGAAAAAAGGAACTCACCCCAACTGGCGCCGGTGCGCCCCAGGAACTGTCCCGTCTCGGAGTTCCAGACGAAGACGCGGAAGCCCTCCCATTTCCCGAGCTTCGGCGGCGGCATATAATACTGCTCGACTTTCTTGCCCTCCATCTCGTTCTAACGACGACTCTCGACGACTCTCGACGATGACTCTCGACGACGATGACGGCGACGACGACGACGGGGACGAGAAGAACCGTGCGCGCGAAGAAGAAAAAGGGTGGAACTCCGGGGGCGACGACAGAAGAACGGAAGAAGGCGCGAAGTGAGTGAAGAAAACGCGCTGTGCCGCACCGTGCCGCGCGTGCTGATCCTTCCCCGAGGGCTGAGGAGCTTCCTTCCTCCGGCGGAACGTCGGCCGCCGATCGAACAGCTCCGCGGGCGAGGGCGCAAAGGAAGGAACGGTCGATTCGTGCCCCCGTCTGGAGGAGCCGCTGCTGTCGGGCGCTCTCGTCCGGCGAAGGGTTGAATATTGAGCGATCGAGGCTGGCCCGACCCCCGCGAGAGAGGTCTTCGGTACCTCTATCCTTCCACCTCCCCGTCGCCTTTCTCACCCCCCCTCGCCCCCCACGGCGCACCCTCCGCGGCGGGCAACGCGCCGGCGTGACCACGCAGACGCGTCAATACGTGATTTCCTTACCACCCCTCCGGCGCTACGCGATCACCCTCGGTACCCATCCTCCTTCCACCCTCCCTTTCTTTCTCACCCCTTCGCGAGTTCGCGGGGACCGATTCGCGAGACCTAGGTGGCTCCACCGGCAACGGCGGGCGATGTACCGACTCAACGTCGATCTCGCAACCCTCAACCCTCCGCGGATTTCGAGCCACCCCTCTCTCCTCCCCCCCACCACCGCCCGCCGTCTCGTTTTAGGTGCTTTCGATCGACCCCCGTCCTCCGTCCCGCGAGAACGCCGACCGCTCGGGAACGGAGCTTATGCGACGCGATGCGCAGCCGAGCCGACTCGCGTATGCGTATTAAGTCTCTAGCTCTCTCTCTCCTGCGAGGAGACGGATAGGCCATAGGGAAGGGAGGGTGATGTACGTTAAGGAAAGAGAGGAGGGGATGATATCGAGACCGTGTGAGAGCGAGAGGCGAGAGGGGTTGAAGGGGAGGAAAGCAGATAGTGGGTCACGTGGAGTGTTCGAGACTGCCGCGATAGCCCGAGAGGGAATAACGGCTGGCGGCTGGCGGCTGGCGGCTGGCGGCTGGCGGCTGGCGGCTGGCGGCACGGTCTTTTCCGCGGGCCTCAAATTGCAGCGAGCACCGAAAACGCCGTCGCGATTATCCCCCCGTACACGTATAACGATATCCTCTGACAGCATATACGATGACGCGGTACTTAATAAGCAATTTTTCGCACGCCCATCGCGATAAGTATCGCGGTATTATTTTTCCAACTGGCATAAGTATTTCCATTTGAGTCATTGTTAATTACTAATATAAATGTATAATGTAATAAATATAATAAATTGATAATTTAATTACTAATGCAATTATCCACCTATCAATTTTATTGATATTAATCCTTTATTTATGTAATTGTTCAGATCTTCTAATATTTATCTTTCCGTTTCAAATTTAAAGCTATCAATTAATAATAATACAGTTGCTAATTATGACAATCAATTATAATCGAGTAATTATTAACTAATGTACTGCGATCGATTAAAAAAGAGGTCAATAATTTACTATTTTCCATAGATTTTCTATGGATATTCTATAATCTAATTGTTAAATCTAATAAATTTCCAAATAATAGTGTTTATATTTTTTTAAAGATATATTGCAATGCAAACTTTTTAAATCCGAAGAAAAGATTAAAAAGTTTCAATTATTAAAAAGCTCGCATTTTACTGAAGTGCTTGAACGTGTGGCGTGATCGTTGAGATTATAATTTGGCAACAACATAATCCAGATTCAGTCAGGTTTATCAAGAGCAGATTTTGCAAGCTACTCTTATAAGTTTCGTGATTGAACAAGCTCACGCATCAGTCACGCGCAACACTCCCACATGTAAAAGTTGTTATGCTCTTTGAATTAAAAACACTTGTGTCATTGAAATTTTCTCAATGCGCCTTCTACTGAAAAGTTTGATTCATATCCGTCTAATAGAAAAACCGGCAATCTTGACAATCAGTTGAAAATAAGTTAATTACATTGAAGTAATCTATAATATCTTTATTTTGTAATATGAGTATCTAAGAAGACGTAGGTATTCTCTGAAAGCTTTTTAAGACTTTTAAAATATTTCTGTTTATAACACAACGTCATCACAAAATCATGATTTTTGGTACAATCAAGATTTATCTCCCTTATACTCTCATTTCTTTCCGTTTTGTGAAAGAAAATCGACGTTGCAAAAATAGGATATTTTTTTAATTAAAAAAATTTTTTTTTTTTTAGAAAACTGTTTCTACCTTTATAGAATTAATCGTCATTATTTGTCTTTATATCTGCAATATAATAAGCAGTTTAATAAGATTATAACAATCAAACTGTTGGATATTTTGCCTTTTTATAGGGAAACTAAATATCAAAACTTCTTTCAAAAGTTTATTCACAGTATTTATATGGTATCACAATTAAAGACGTTTAATTGCTTCCAGTGAATATAACGTCCCAAATCGGGACATCTTTAAGACGTCACATATCCCAATTTGGGACATACGTGTTGCCTGGGAAGTCACGCTTGATACTGCAACCGTGTCCTGAAATTTAATAAAACTGTATCTGTATATCCGTTTTGTTATATAAAGCAGAGAGATATTAATTATCAAGTTCGTTGAACACAGAAAATAAATACATACGACAATTTCGATCATGGGGCTAATATTAATTTGTAAATTGCAAACCCCGCTTATCGAATTACATGCTGCTGATTACCGCTGTTTTCACAACAGTGATCTTTTAAATTTAAACCACCAACAAACATAATTAAATTGATATATTAATAATCAAATTAATATTACTATGCCGATAAAGCATCTTACAAACTTCGCACTATTGTCAAGAAATTTATTACAAAAAATATTAAGAGCTCGAATCTGAACCTCTCTATTTTCTGAGTAGAAATCTTATCATCCGACCACCGAAGGTCTAATGATATGTCTCCGCGATAAACATGATACGAAAAATCACATCGTTTTCAATGAAACAATTTGAAGAAGCAAATAACGTAAGCACAACATAGAATAAATAAAGATAACAATTCCATCGGGCAGATTTTCAAATTGACATTCATTTTTGAATATATCATCGCTGTAGTATGAACTATCCACTGGTTACTCATTGTCAGTTTTACAATGTGCTCGTCAAAACAAAAATGCGAATTTATACATTGAAATTATATTAATAATCAATTAATAACCGTAAGCACTAACTGGCACGTGATTAGTAATCCAATTTTAATATTTCTAATTTATAAATTAAGCCGACCGCCGACCATCTACCAGATGATCGAAATCGTTATATTTATTTATTTTGTGTTGCACACATACATTATTACTTACTTGTTATCACTAAATGTGATTAACTGCTTTTGGATGAAAACTTCTGGTTTTGTTTTGCAACTTCTTCGAGATTGACCAAATACTTGCGAAGTTTTGCTTTTTGCGTAATTCAAATCTTCTTAAAGTCATTAAAGTCAGTTTTACAGCGTAAGAGAAATGATAAAAAAAGGATTTTACTAAGAAAAAATTATTAGTCAATATATAAAGTACATTTAAGTATTTCCAATAATATAATTACGTTTACAGGAATATAATTACATTTAAGTATTTTCACGAAAGATTAAATACATGCTGACAATAAGCTGTACGCACTTAAAAGTAAGGCTTTCTTATTCCTTTAGAAGAGTACGCTCTTAAAGTTCTAGATCCTTTCCTTTTATTTATAATTTTATTATTTTTACTATACATCTTGTACTCCCTTTACATTTTTGTGACAAATGCGTAATCTAATCTAGAGTATCTCGTGAGTTTCCTTTTTGATTGATCCTTTCTATAGATTTTTTTTTTAATTCATCCATATTCACAACTTATGAACAGTAATATGTATTATTCACAGTCGCTATACAAATTTCGTTCGACACATTTTGTTGATATATATATTTAACAACGGACGTAATCAACTTGTCTTAACACTCGAGAAGTCAAAGCGATTATTTTGACCCCTATCAAATTTTTAACTAGTAACCTTGATATTATTTGATAGAGTCTTGTACTCTTTTCCTTCATTTTTTCAGCCATTGTGCTCTTAGATTTCGTAGTTCTAGAAAAATTTCAATGCCGAAACGACTCAAATTAATTAAAAATACGACCTTAAAATGATATCAAAAATGCAATCGCAACAGCACAAATTATCTAAATCAATGTCGAGACATGTTATCAGCTTTGTTTCTGAAAAAAAAAAGTATGGAACCGCGAAGATCAAGCCCTTTCTATCAACCTTTCTAGCAATTGTACATACACGACAGCCTTCTAACATTCTTGTAATTTTTAACAGTAACAGGAACTGTGCAACATCTAATGCCCAATCGTCAACCCTTTTAATATTCGGGGCTGGTTTTAGTAACAAACAAGCTCGGGTCAACATTTTTCCAGGAACAATATTTCGGCCATTGATCTTTTTTCATAGAAATTTATCCCAATACGAAAATATGCCGCATACAAAAACTGTGGGAAACGATTAGTTATTTAATGTATAACGGATGTCTGAGAATCTAATATCATCTAGATTTATAATGAATGCAGAATAATGTAAATAAAGAGTCGATTTCTCTTCAGCAAACGTTTCATATGAAACTATTATATTATTCATCTTTTTTGTCGTTTGATCAGGTATTCTTGGCGACAGTAAGCTTTGTTTAAAAAATTTATATGTCAAAATTCTGTTATCTTTTTGCATCCTTCACAGGCCGAATTTGTCAAAAACTTTTAATATTTAATGTTAAATAATTTCTATACAATGCCTATATTCTTAAGCAATTTCCATTTTTCTTAATTATATTCTTAATATATATTTAATAGAACTCAATTACATAATGAGAAGGCTAATACGTCACAAATCAATCAAACGAAACAAATTTGCAGCTTATTTTCGGGTCGTAAAGCCTCACCGGACATTTAATTCTAAATTTATTTCTTTAATTCTGTTTCTCGGTTTGCCTGTTATATGGAAATCGCAGTGATGCAAGTGCGAAACGACAGCAATATTATTTCTACTACATTGTTTGCACGACTAGGATAGGCGATCTTTGTTGGCAACTTCTAATAATTGAACCAATATGTTATCTTATTACACGAAATTTATTTGACTTAGTACCTTCCATTGTTCGTGATAACTGGTATAATTTGATTTCATTGAACAACACCTTGCCATAATAATTGTTTCAAAAAGATTGAATAAAGTCTGAGGAAATTTTACATATCTCTCAGAAAATGTCCGATTTGGCTTGTCAACGCTACATATAATAGCATTTTAGTCGTTTCCGTAACTTCCTTACAAATAGCACAATTTCCTCCATTTTTATCGGTTTCTCTTTATCTAGTTAATATATTTCCCAACTATCTTGTTCATTGCTATCTATCGTCTTTCATTTTTACGTTTCTCTTTTTTATTCAAAAAATCACTTTTGCGTATTACGACCGTTCGTACAAGAAAATATATGATTCTGTGAGGGGGAGAGTTTTCGTCTTTAAGATATTCAACCGTAAAAGTTCGTTCATGTACAAAGGGTTTCGAGCTGTTTTCGCATTCGCCGATGACAATCCGAATGATCGTTTTAAATGCACTAGCAATTTTGCTAGCGGGCTGCCACTCCACTCACATTCAGCTTTACCCTGCGTTGTTGCTCCCTAAGAGTCCATTGCATCAACAGTGTTGCAGCTTTGGTTAACTAATCCATTTCGTTTATCGACATACTAAACAAGATGCACAATAGATTTGCATAACAGATGTAACGATATAAATGTGTTTACAAAGCTTGTGTCGCAAAATATGTAGACGTATGCATAGCTTACACGCTTGCATAGCTTATAACTAAACAAATGATGTTATAAACGATGTTCTAAAAAAAGGATGGAAAAATTGACAAAACTTTATAGGGTGTAAAATACATTATACTTATATATTTTGCTGGGTCAATTCGAAAATATCCTGAAATCTGCGTCAATAAAAGTACGCCTCTTAAAAATTTGCAGTTTTTAAGACAGCTTTGACAACGCGATCCTTCTATTTTAAATAATAATTCCATAATGTAGACAAGTGTACAGAAGATGTACAGAAGATTTAGTTAACCACGCTTAACACATTAATTGCTGCAACCAAACATGTAAAAAAGCTTAACGTTGATTACGCTCAAATACATGGGCAATCGATAAAAGTCGTATAAAATCGTTTCAAATGCACGTGCAATCGCATGACTACTCGTGTATAAATAATATGAGAATCGCCGTCTAACTACAAGTATAAGATAAGAAACAAGGTGTGAGCAGCAAATACATATGTATAATTACGAAATATATATTATATATAGGATACATATAACATATATTTCATGATTTTACCACAAACACACACACAGACACACACAAATGCACACACGCACACTCGCATACATATACACGCAAGCACACGTAAGCGTACAAACACACATAGGAGCGCAACGGCAGCTAGATGATCGAACACTTTTGGTATGTTGTTCCTTCACTATCTTCTCTATTTTCCTCCCTTTCCCTGTTTCTTTTTTCCCTATTTTTTCCTTCCCTTATCGTTTTCTTATTTTTCTCTCTCTTTCTGCCTCTTGCATTCAATCTTCTTTGCGCGTACATACACACATGAACACATGCACGCGCGCACATCGCACAACATACGTAATGTATACTATTTCATATATATTACACGCCTTTTTTTCTTTTTCACATGTCATTATCGGTTCATCGCGCACGTAAGAATCGAGAAAAATATATGTACATAAAAACGTCGTGGCGTAACGGCGATAGTAGAAGTAATAATTATAGTTTAATAGTAATAGTAATAGCGTTGTAGACATGGTAGATTAGAAGTTAAAGTATCGATTGCTAAATATAGTCGAATCTCGTATAATTTTCGCTTTCCTGTTTGGGGCACAATACAATTCTTTATCCTTTTTTTTTGCGTTTCTCTTATAGCTATTCGTTAAGAGAATTTAGAGTACAGAAGGGAAAATAGGAGCATTGCCGAGGTGGGAGTCACAGCGATAAGTAGCCAATAAGTATCGTTGGAAGGACATGAGTCACTATTTAAACCCAAAAATTCCTTGAAACGTGTCCTACAGTAAAAGAAACACAGACAAGACGTTGTGTTCCGTATAACGCGGTCTTTCAATTATTTCTTGCCTCGCTTTTACTCTTTCTTTGTACAATACTACTACATTATATTTTTACATTTAGTTAGATCACTTTTCAATCACTATCATACATAAGAACTTGCAAAAGGTGTACCTCGTACCATAAACCGCGAAGTGCCCTCAGTTAGAAAAGTTTCGTCGCTGTCATACTTGTCGTACTTGGCGTCGGTGTTATCGTTATCGTCATCGTCATCGTCATCGTCATCGTCATTGTCATCGTCATTGTCAGCATCAATATTCGCATTATCATCGTCATCATCATCGTCTTGATTGAAGAATAGGGCATTTAGAAAAATTACCGAAAAGTGAAAGGAGGAACGGTGGCGGTTGTCATCTGGCAACGTCTTGTCCTTGCTGTCCTTAGAACGGTTCGCATTGGCGTATTGGTGATTACAATGACAGATGTGCTGGTGATGGTGATTGTGATGGTAATGGTGATGATGAAGATGATAGCGATGGTGATATTGGTGATGACGATGATGGCAATAGTTGCGGTTATAGTGGCGGTGAGAATTGTGACGAGTGGTAGCAGAGTGGTCCATGGCAGGGGATCACTTGTCGGAACTCGGGCACTCCCCAGGCTGCTTCATTATCGTGTAATCCAGTCGGTATTGGGCTGAAATTAAAAGGATTTCGTGTTCTTTGTGACGACAATACGTGAGTAGATTGTGTGTAATCACAGGTGAAACCACTCAATATTCAATACTTAAGTGCTGATCACAATCTAGTCTATATGCGGCAGTTATATGAAACAATATTCTATGGAAGAAAAAGTAAAAAAATATGAACATACTAAAAATCGTGTAACAACCAAGCTGCATGAACATATTAAATTTATCCTAATTTATAAAATTCTAAATGGATCTTTTTTTTTCTTTAAAATGTGGATTTGTGTAATACGTAATGTCATCTCCTTTTTAATTTCATTTTTTTTATTTTCCAATGTCAAATATCTCCACTTAAATGAAGATTTCATCAAGATTAGATTAAATTCGTTTAAAAACTATAGTTTTGTTTTATTTGCGCATTAAGTAAAATCAGAAGTGTCCGTTCTTCATGTAACGCAACGGTCGATTGTATTAAGAGGACGTACCTTTCTTCGTAATGTCCTCCATCGTCTGATCCTTACAGTCTACCGCGAGGTGACTATTACTGCCGCAGTTATAACAGGAGATCTTTGGAGTCTGTGGTATCACCGCTGCCGCGTACGTTACCACTGGCGCAGGTGGCATGTAGGACGCTTGTACTGGCGCCGCGGCAGCCGCGTTCGGTGGCGGTGGCGGCGGCGGTGTGCCACCGGACGCGGGATGACCCGTGTATGGATATATAATCTCGCCGTTCGGTTGGTACGCTGGTTGGTAGGCTGGTCGTGCGGACGGCCCGTGCAAGAAATTGGAGTAGATACCGCTGTTGGGCCGTAGCGCAGCTGGGAAGTGGCCGTGCGGCAGATACGTGAGCTGCGAGTGTGTCGGCGGCGCCGGGAAGGAGACGCAGTGCGATAGACTCGGCGGTCCGCCGTTCCCGTTGCCGGCCCCGTTCAATATTCCCTGGTTCTTCTGTCGCATCGTGCGCGTCTGCGAATTCTTCCTGGTAAGTTGCCTGCTCTCCGGTGGCACTGACGATTGCATTGACGACTGCTGAGGTGCTGACACAACGTGCGGCGGTGCCGTCGCTGTGGAATGCACCGGCGCGGAACTCATGTGGTCAGTAACGTTGCTGTCACCACCGCCGCTGCTATTGACCCATGGTGCAGCCGGTGGCGTTTCGGGAGGTGATCTACTACCGGTGCTATCTGAACTACTGCTTTGGGAGCAGTGCCGGCTGCTCTCAGAGTCGAGTCGCAGCGCTTGCAGTTGTCCAAGGCAAAACACGTGCTGAGCGTTACATCTGAAAATACAATACACCTCATGATAACTAGTCATGTAATTCTTTAATTAAGTGTTAAACATCAAATACTTATTATATTCCAATCAAGCCCATATTAAATTTCTATTAAAATTCAATAGCCAGAAATCATTTTTTTTTATTAACTTTCAATCGCTTATATCACAAAAAATATTACCTGGTAATTCTTTTATTTTAGGATAACTTTTCTTAGCTTTTTTATCTTTAATATTTTTAAGGTTGTTAATTTATTGTTTAAACACTAAGAGAACTCATTTATATGTACCTTGGATATCGATTTTGCATTCCAGTTACTGGTACAGTAGTGAGACAAGCATAGCATGGTGAGTTCTGAGCTGTATACATTTGTGGTGGTGCAGGATACATTTGTATTTGCGCGGGATCTATCGATGGCATGCCAGGATAACGTCGAAAATTGGGAGTAGTCATGTGATTGTGATAATGATGCATCGCCGGATGCTGTTCCTGTAATGGCATCGATTTCCCGCTTGTACTATTGCTTGAATCACCCAAAACCTCCATACCTGATGCCTATAGGACAAAACAAACGATACAAACTTGTAAAAAAAAAACTTTGAATGTCAAAAACAACATTAATATAAATTTTATGGAGATCTATTTATAACTGTATTCTAATAATTTTTTAAATTAAGAAATATGGGGTTTTTCTTACAATATCTTGTGCATTATGCTCTTACATAGAATACGAACCGAAACATGATAACATTTTCTTATTCGTATTGTATTTATAAAGCTAATATTCATTTTATTAATATATATATTGTCAATACGTTATTTATTAAGCTAGCATTTAAAGTAAAAGAGAAAACGTGCAGATACATTGAAACTTTATAACACTAATTTAAAACACTTGTAATTTAAAAGTTATCGCGAGAGAACAATGTCTCGTTTTTCGCCAAAAAAAATTGATTCGGATTAGACAAAGAGTTCTTGAAGGTTGTATATATTATGCGCGACATTCCATAAATCTTACCTCATTTTCGATCGATTCGGCGAGTAAATGTGAAGTACCACTGTCCAGCTTTTTATCCGTTGAAATCTGATTTAAGCCATTGCTAGTTTGACTTTTGACTATATTCCTCAACTGTCCTACCGCATTCGGTGTCAAGCCGATGTCCCTTAAGTCTTCGTCACTCATTCTTCTGATCTATAATCCGCATAAATACGTAACATAAATAATTCAGTTGCAAATTGTATAGTCTGATGACAGCTGTATGAAAACAGGATTTTATTTACCTCGTCGCGAGAAAAGTTCTGCAGGTTGCTCTTAAAGTTCGGCATCTCCTTACCCAGCGTCTCTCGAAGGGAATCGCCAGAGTTGGACGACCTAAGTCGTGGCGGTTGTTTCGATTGGGTTGCCGAGATCATAGTAGACGACGGAGTGTTGTCGATGTTATGTCGGGAGAAGCCCGATGAGCTCATGTTAGACAGAGGAACGGGCCGCGATGATGGGAGTAACGGTGATTGACTAGGAAGACTTCTGCTTGCGCCGGGCGTTGGTAGAGGCGGTAGGGAGTTGTTGTTGTTGCTGTTACTAGTGATGTTCGAAACGGAGCTGCTCGTCTGGCTGTTTGAGCTCGACGATGTGAGACTGGTCGAAGTGGATTGAGTAGACTGCGAGGACGAGGCGCGCGAGTTAACATTAGTCCTGCCGCGGCCCATCGGCGAGTTACTGCGACTAGGAGATCGTGACTGGGATGGCGAGGATTGGCGGCTGACTAAGGGGGAAGGGGGATAAGCCAACACGTCGCTGGTATACATCAGCTGGTTTCCCATCATAACCTGGCTTGTCCAAGGGGGCATGTGGTTCATGGATGGGAAACCGAGATGAACGTATTGCGTAGTACCACCAGATCCCATAAGCATTTGCTCTGGGCCAGGCAAACATAGTCCTGGTGGAGGTATCGTGAGACCAGGTGGTACTCCGGTGACCATAGCATTATTCCTCATCGCTATTTCTCCTAAAACATAACACATCAATATATTGAAACAATTTTAAATTCAGGAAATGCACATAAATATATAAATCAGTCAAACATGATCAACATCATCATATTTAAAATAATTTTGTTTAACAAATAATATATAAAATTTTTAATACAAGAAATCATATATAGAAATATTTCATAGTAAACATAAAAAACACTGAAATGATTTTTAGTTATGAAAGAGTCAAACTATTTAATCATTGTAGTAAGTGTCTACATATAGATTTTCCAATAAAAAACATTCTACATGATTTATTCAAAATAAGCAAGACAAAATAGACAAAATAGAAAAGTTTTTAGATAGAATATGAATAGTTTTGCAGTATTTGTAAAATATAAATAAACTATCATGTTATTGTTGGCATAGTTGTAATTCTTTAGTCGCATTAAGCGCACTGTACTCGAATGAGCTGATTTAAGTAAGTTAAACAAGAGATGCAAAGATAAACGTGGTAAACAATTATACTTTCGGTTTTTTTCCCGAAAAGCGGAATGCTGATATCGTTAAAGTGGCTTCATTAAGCAATGTGCTTTACCACATTATGTCACAAATGTAATTTATCTAAACGTTTCCTTTCCGTGTCAATATTTAAAAAAATATGCAACGCGGCGTACCATAAGATTGCATTGGCGGTGGCGGCATTAAGCAGCTACTCGGGATCTCAGGCTCCATTAATCTTTCATTTGTATTCATGCACGGTGGACAGCCCTGCATAAATTTAAACTATATGTAAATTACAATCGAACTATTAGAACAACTAATATCGCATCACCATATTACTATACATATTAATACATAGATTACAGTTGCAATATTACAGAAGCGTGTTAATAAATTAATTGAATTTATTACAAATTAATAAATTAATCTTAAGTAACATATTGCATATTGCGAGATTTTTTTGTACTTGACGTTGAGATCAAGTGTAACAGAAAAAAAGGTTTTCACTAAATTATGGTATTCCTATTAAATTATTTTAATCAATAATTACTTTCTAAGAACTTTGAAAATAAAAACTAATAATTTAATAGAAATAATATAATTCAGTGAACAAGAAAATAAATGTTTCATAAGAATATTGGCTTTTTACTTTCTCTTTTAATTTAAAAAAAAAAAGGAATATCATGCATTACTTGTGTCGGTTTGAAAGAAGAGTTTATCTTTGAAAGATTCAGACGAGCTTCTTCTTCCTGGAGCTTGATGAATATGTTGCCGAACACGCTCTTCTGTTCGTATGTGAAGGCCGGATGATTCAGTGCCATCGTATACAGCAGTAGCAACTCTTCCAAGGGTTGGTTGTCGGGTTTAAAGATGGTCCCGTTTAACAGGTTGATGATCTCCTGATGGTCGAGGTTCGATAGATTCTTGTACAGGATTACCGCACAGGCGTAATTGCACGAATGCAACAGTGCCATGTAGAGAGCCAGTTTTCTTCGCGTGCGTTTATCCGTCACGTTGGAAGTCGTCAGCTCGGCCAGCTCCGAGGGGCTATTCGCATGGTGTTCTGTGTCACGTAGGTCATTGTAGTCCCGCTTGCCGATATCCTCGACGCACGTGCCGAGGAATCGTACTTCAAACGGCAAGCACATGTTCAGCAATGTGCACATTACATCGATACGTTTATAACTGAACAGACAAAAAAGTAGATTAATGTCAAGTTGTGTGTCAACATCACAATTTTAACGCTAGCTTAAAAATCATAGTTTTAAAGTTCTAATTATTCTACGGTCTTTCCATCGAATAAACTCGTTGCCATTGTAAATTTCAAAGAATACAATTACAGGTTACACATTGTTGTTGCAATACGACTGTCTTTATTTTTATTCTTGCCAATATCTTGTACTTATGCGTTCAAGATTGAACGCAGATTAATTATTCTGATATAAATGTTAGAGTAACATGTAATTTTTTAATTTTCAACAATATGCAATGGTAATTTTGATAGAAATGAGCAATAAAATACAATTTAATTATATTTTCAGCAAGAAGACGTTCAAGTCGAAAGATTCATGTGAAAACTCTCTTTAGCAATCTTATAAAAAATTACCTGCAGTATGTAATCAATTTAGCAAATAAACGTGACAATAGTCTAATAGAAATATATTTCTACGTCTTTAGATCTGTCTTCATTTTCTCTTTTGCCATTTAATAATTTGTATATGTATATATAGTATCAACTTGTGACGAATAGCATTAGAAACTGCGTAGCTCATCGTACATAATTATTTCTTTTCTTATCGACATACTAATGCCAGTATTTCATATCAGAAATTATACCGACCAAACATTTTTGAAGAAGATTAATGCGCAAAAGGGCATTAAAATGGGAAAAAATATATATATATATAACAAGAAGTAACTTTTCATAACCGAGGGAGTCGCTTCGTGCAAGGAACACAGAACTACGAGACGACAAGGACACAAGCGTGTCCTTCGATACGACGTCGGGCTCGAGGAGCCCCTAGTGACCCAGGTGTAACGGCAGGAAGTAACGTAACGTATACAATAAAAACGTATTTAAATTCCCAACGACATCGTTGGCTCGAGAGGATCCATTCGCGACGCGCGAGAAGCGCGTTTCGCGGAATGCGCGAGGAGAGACGAACAATCGTGCGATATATCCCTCGCGAGAGACGGCAAGCCGAGACGACGACGAAGACGACGACGATCGTCTTAAGAGCGAGGGGGTTGGTCGACGAGATACACGGAACCTCGGGAGGGTACCGTGCACGCTCCCTCCCCCCTCCGCCGCGCATCGAGCGACGACGCGCCGACGGTTACGCAAAATTACTCCTGAAATATCTCGGGAAGATGCGCGCGTTAAGTGTCGTCATAGCGCGGCGACGCTTCCACATTACCTGGACAGATTCCCAAACCATGATACCACGTTCTCCTTACACACCATTGCCAGACAACATTGATACCACTTGGGTGGGAGGAAAGTGTGGAGCAACGGAGCGGACAACCAGCGGGCGGCCTCTCTCTCTCTCTCTCTGTCTCTCTTTCTCTCTCTTTCTCCCTCTCTCCTCCTCTCGCTTTCTCTCCCTCTAGTGTCCGTCTGTCTCTCTCTCCTTCTCCTTTTCCTTCTCCGGCTGGCGATCTCCTTCTCTCTCACGCTCTCGTCCCTGCCTCTCTCGAGGGCACCGCACAATCGGGTTGACAATCGGGTTCCTCGCGTACGTGGGGAACCGTTTCACGGCCGCGCTTCAATGGTACCCGTCAAAATCCGACGGTAAAACGACGGCACAACGGGATGGTCGGGCTGCACAGTGGCGGCAGCGACGGCAGCGGTGGCAGGGTGGCACGACAGCCGTGTAGCACACGCCGTCACAGAGGCTTCCACATTCGCCGTGTGCGGCAGGCGGAGATATTGGGGATGTCGACGACGATACGCGATACCACCAGGTGTGGGACAACGACGGGACGATGCTCCAATCGGAGCGGGCGACCCAGGGGCCGACGACGTGAGACCGAGCGAGAGGCGATCGGAGCGATCCGCGGATCCGCGGGGCCGCGCGCGCGCTTAATCCGTGCGTGCCGTGCGTTGCGTGCCTTGCGTGGCGCGGGTACGGCGAAAAGACACTCTCTCTCACTCGCGAGCGAGCAGGCGCGCGTGAACGGCGCGCGCTCCGGGTGTCCCCCTAACTTCTCCGGGTATTTCCGCGAGACGAGCAACACCGACAACACGTCGTACGATATGGAATATATATTCACCGCCGTATTCGCCCGTATTCTCTCTCTCGCGTCGCGATAACTCTCGCGATTTCGCTCTCTTTCTCTCTTTCATCCCCTCTCTCGCTTCTACGCTGCAGCCCTCCCCCTCCCTGCTCCAACCCGCCGCACTCCTCGTTCTGTCGCTCTCCGTCGCTCCGTCTCTCTTTCTCGCGCGCGCACGCGAGATTACAGACGCGCGATTACGAACAAACCAATTGGTCACATTAAACGTTAAAAACTAACTTACAATCAATCACAAACAATTTATAAACGAAATACACTTGGAAAAATTAAAAATTATCAAATTTAGTCATTTCTGCCGGCTAGCTTCATAGGGCCGGTCTACAATGGGTGTTGTGAGTCGTAAGTCGTAAGAATTGGCCAATTACAGTTCATTATTCTTCGACCGCAAGGAGAATAATGGACTGTGATTGGTCACGTCTTACGACTCACGTCGACTTTCAACTGCGAGAGGTATCGAGTAGCATGTTGGATCGACGCGTGCAACAAGGCGACGTTCTCATGCCGCGAACGCGATGGGGCGCGGTTAGTAAATTACTAGAAGCGTAAATACCACATCACGCGACGTTTCTAGTAATTTCTCAATGCAATATCTCTCTCGCTTTCTAATAAAAACGCACCGCGACCGTGGATTTTAATGTAGCGCGGCAATTCCCGAATTTAATTTGAGCAGCAGTTTTTCAATTTACATTCGTCTTTTAGCGAATTCGATTGGACGCACTAGGTGCACACTCAAAATGCATATTCCAGCCGATGTACCAGATACACTGATTTAATCTTTAATCTTTAAAATAGAATGTAAATAAAGCAATAAAACTGCGTATTTATTTAAAACTGTTTTTCCATAGTTATCGCTCTTGTCCAATTATTCACGCGGATATAGAGATCTCGAATCATAGTGGAGCATTTACCGATAAAATCAACGATTTATAACGTATTCGACCTTGTTTGAATAATTAGTTTTTTATTACAGAGAATTGCAAATCTCTGTCTATAATTTAAATATACTGACGAATGAAGCCGGAAGTGAATGACCTCATGCTAGGAATAATTTTTTTTAAGTTACAATTTTATGCTAATTCGTGATAACTCGGATAGTAAAATCTGTCAAGAACAGCAGATTTTGAAAGTGTCTGCTACAAATTTTGTCGAGAGAATGCCAGTAGAAATTTAACAAAATCTGCTATAGCAGAATGTAATGGCAAATTGACGGCAGAAACTGAACAGACCGTTTTGTAACTATTTAAATGACATATTTCCATTTTAATATTCACGAAATGACAGATTTTGCTCTGCCGATAATCTGCTGTCAGATTTTATATCGATATAGATTTTGCCGAAATATCGGATCCGTTGCAAATGTCTTATAGTATATTCTCATACTGCGGACAGTTTTTGTTTACTAATTGTAAAAGAAAACGTTTTCTCGGTATAAAAATTAGATAATTTGTATAAAACAACATCGCGATCGCAGCTTAAGATTATATGAAAGAAATGTTGAATTCTTAGAAGTGAGCTTAGAAACCTTGTAAGAAAGAATGCTGTATGAAACTTTCATATACGTGTATGTAGTATGTATGTACATACATACATATACTAGCTATATTTATTTACATGCTAAAGTAGAAGAGTAAAACAGAACATTTTACCACGATAGAGTTAACAAATATTACGATAGAGGGCACTACAATTAGTGTTTATTGGTAAGGGGAGACACATAATTAGTACTGTAGCAGTGTAGCATTGTATACATATATTATAGCTACTCCGAAAAAATCTTTTATAAAAATATACATAAATATAAAAATATAATAATAATATTATAATATACATATAATTGTTATATAAAATATGTCTGTATTTTCTTTCTTTTATAATAATATATACTCTGTCCATATTACAATATATATACATTGTATATATATATATATATATATATATATATATATATATATATATATAT